TATATATATATATATATATATATATATATATATATATATATATATATATATAAAATTCCAAATATCTACTATTTTTACTTGAAATTCAAAGAAACCAATGATCCTTTTTGCACCATATAAGATAAATGTCCCAATGCCTAAACTAACAAGAAAGCAGATCAGTTTTATATTTTTATTAATAAATAATTAATGGAATTAGTCACAAAATTCACATATCTATATAAAACTTTGATTTATCAGCGATTAAGAAATAACAGGAAATAAAGTCAATAAATCAATAGATATGTATCATAATTTTAATGAAATATTTGATAATACCAGTTATAACCAGTAATTGAACTGAAAGATTAATCATGCCCTAATTACCAAATAATACAGATTTAATTGAATATCACAAATTGGCATAAAAAAAATGTTTTTTAACAAAACTTCATGGATGCTTTCCAATTGCTTAACACATCTTGACACATATGTACACAGAAATGCACAAAGTATAACGTTATGCATGATTCAATTGGAACAAAGTGTGTATTAATGTGTATGTATGTCGGATAGAGTTAGGGTTATTTTTCAACTATGCTTATATTTTGGTATTTTTTAATAATAAATAATAAAATCTAAATAATAAAAAAAATATTATCCATTTCACGTCGCAAATGCCAGTCCCTTTTCAAGCCGCTACGCTTGTTAGCTTTAATTTTCACTAGAAAACACTAGTTTACAAAGCCGACTAGTAGCTCTCGAGCTGAGTACGAGATGTATAGTGGGTGCTTTCCAATTGCTTAACACATCTTGACACACGTACACAAAACCAATTTATTGGTCACATATTATCTAAAACATCTTGTAAGATAATATGCAACCAATAAACTGGTTTTGTGTAACAGTGTACGCAACTGGAAAGCACCCAGTGTTGTGTCGACGATTACGACAATTGGGCTGCGTTTCGAAATGTACTGCCAGTACTAAAAATCTATAATTTATGTTACGTATATTATAGAATTTTAGTATTGGCAGTAAATTTCGGAACGCAGCCTTGGAATGCAACTTGTGTCGCCGTGTGTATGAAAGTGTCTAGGGATATTGCAATTGGAAAGCACCCATAGAAGAACGCAGTAGCGTTGGTAGTGTGCTCCCCGAACGCACTCATAGCATAAGATCGTATGGACCAATAAACATCGAGTATTAAGCCGCCATATTGATATTTGATGCTCAATACTTGATGCTCATTGGTTCATATAGTCTTATGCTATGCACATGCAGTATATCATTTCATATGATGAGCTTTATGCTGCGTTCGGAAACACACACTGTTTACACACTACTAGACGATCGCCGTTGGAGTGAGCGAAATACAAGAGTGAGATAAAAAGAGAGGGAGAGTACTCGAGTGACGTTTCCGAACGCAGCCTCAGTCATTAATCATAAACCGCATGCAAATTGATTAATCACAGTCGAATATTTTCAAAAATAATCGACTGTGGTTAGTCAACTATTGCTTATGATTAATAGCTTATTGTAGAAGGCTCATAAGCCATAATGCATAACATCGTCTACGTCAATCCTTGTGCGTTGATATCGATTTACAATGTCATTTATTTACGATCGCAAATAGTTACAATAATTTTTACTCAAATCTATGTCGTTATCGTTATGTTATCCTTACGCAAATATAATGGCTGCGTTCGCTTTGGATGCTTTGACGCGCTGTAAACGTCATTCTATCTTTATCGCTCATTACATGCGGGAAGAAGATAGAATAACGCTTATAGCGCATAAGCGCCCAAAGCGAACGCAGCCATTATATGATAGAAAAATGACGCAATGATAACAACGATAACGACAGTATCGCTAAGAGATATATAAAATTGCGTTACATGCATCGCCTAGTAGTTCCTGGAATGTTTTTTTTTACTGATATCATTCATTCTTATATATACACCCAAAGGTCGGAAAAAAATGATTAACGATAACACTGAATCATTTCGCACATTCGCGTGATAACTCTTGAAACGGCAAGTTCCATGTCACAAGTTCTGTACAATTATAGCTTCCAGCTATTGTGTGGAATTACGTGATTACATGTATGTACACAGGATGTCTCAGAATTTACGAACCGCTATTGCTTGCCGAAAATATCTTGCCAACCGCAGACACTTGATAACGAATTAGGAAAAACGTTTTTCATTAATAAATAAAATTAAAGGGCTGTGACAATTTGAATCTTATGGCATAACCAAATATATAGTCGAGTCTCGCTTCCAAATTTATTTTAACAGATCGTTATCAAAAATACAATGAATATTTCATTTAAGATTCAATAATTGACTATTTATTAGCGAAAGTTTTTTGTTTTCGCAAAATAACGGTGTAGTCGACGAAATTCCCGTTAAAAAGACACGTGATTCTATATTTATCGTGTAATGTAGTAAGCGATCAGAAATCTGATGTTTTTAGGACACTCTATATCTCGGTAATACGACAATACTGATAATAGTTCGCCGGATGTCGCCAACGACATTTGTTTGCAGTGTGCGGCCGTCTCTCGCACGAGTAATGTCGTTGGGTGTAGTTTTTTTTTGAGATTAGTTTCCTTTGTCTTCTGTGCGTGAAATTTTTTACGAAAATGGGCCAGCATGTCTCGAGGACAGACTTCGAGTGGGTTTACACGGAGGAGCCACACGCCACACGAAGAAAAATAATTCTAGGTACAAAAGGAAAGAAAATCGAATATATGCATATGTTTGTCCTATCACGGTTACATCGAGAAACCGGCTCTTATTTTGTGATCACTATTACGAAATTTAAGTAGTTGTTAGATGTGTATGTGTGGCTGAATCACTCTCCAAGAGTAGACATCACGTTCAAGCCTCAATTATTCATGCAGAAATGACTATTCTAATTAAATATAGTTATGATGAAATAATTTTGTATATCGAGCTTTTTGTTGCAATATTATTATAAAATTTATAATAATGTATTTTTCGATATAAAACTGAGAGCAATAAAACTTCAAACTTAATGTATAATTTGAGAATATTTTGTATTCTTTATTGTATTCTTGATGTATTATTTATAACACACACACACATATATATATATAAATAATGTGTGTAATATATGTTAATATTTTATTTGGAATATTTATTCAAAATAATAATTTCTGTGTTTTAGAAAAATATCCACAAATTAAGAAATTGTTTGGATATGATTCAAATTTCAAATGGATAGTCACTTTTATGGTATTAGTACAATTTCTATCCTTCTTTATAGTAAAAGATTTGAGTTACCCAAAACTATTAATATTAGCATATTGCTTTGGTGGTGTGATAAATCACTCTCTTATGCTTGGTATGTATATATTTTTATTATTAAGTTAGCAGAGATAAATGTTGTAATGTATCAGAATACTAATATACTGTATATTTACATATAAATTAATCGTATGGATTCATTAAGATAGTAAAATATATGTATGCTAATATATAGTGTATTAGCACTTCTGATACATTATGCTAATCTAATTTATAATTCTTGTAAAGCATTTACATGTCATTCTCTTACAGCTGTACATGAGATAGCTCATAATCTTGCCTTTGGACATGCCAGACCCATGGCTAACAGACTATTTGGTTTTTTTGCAAATTTGCCAATAGGAATACCAATGTCTATTAGTTTCAAAAAATATCATCTTGAGCACCATCGTGTAAGTATCACAAAAATGAATATACTTCACTTGATTTACTGTATCTATACATATAATGTATATAATACACATATATTCTCAATTTAATATATATATGTACATGTGACATATTTTGTTTTGTATATTGACTTGTTATATTTAGTATCAAGGAGATGAAAAACTAGATACAGATTTGCCAACATTATTAGAGGCAAAGTTATTTTGCACGACTTTTGGGAAATTTTGTTGGTTGTTCCTGCAACCATTCTTCTATTCTCTGCGTCCTCTCATAACGTATCCAAAAAAACCAACTCCATTAGAATACATTAATCTTGTGATACAATTGATATTTGATGGCTGCGTGTGGTATTATTTTGGTAAGTTCTAAAATTTTCTTATGATTTATAACACAAATTGTGGATAATATTAATTTTGCAAATAGCAGGGTTAGGTAAATTAATACCAATTTATGTTCTATACAAGATTCTATACAAGAAAAGAATACTAGTGCTAAGAGAGACAAAAAAATCTTCTGTCATTATTTTTTCTTTTTCTTATTCTATATTCTTTCTTTTATTCTATATTTTTTCTCTTATTCTATATTTTATATTTGTTAGAAGCTTGCAATGATTTAAGTATTGATGGGGAAATTATTTTAACTTATACAAAAAAGTTAATAAGTTAAGATTTATACATTTTAAAATAACTAGTTTAAGTTTCTACATTTCTAGTTTAAGTTAAAAGTTATCAACTGTTTTACATTTTATCTTTTAACTGATTAGCTAGTTATCATTAAATTTAAATAAATAGTAATGCTAAATTGTTAAAAAAGAAATATGATTTTAGGTGGCAAAGTGTTATTTTACCTGCTCATTGGCTCAGTTCTTGCAATGGGGCTACATCCTGTGGCAGGACACTTTATATCGGAACACTACATGTATAGGAAGGGTTTCGAGACATACAGTTATTATGGTCCTCTAAATTTTATCACCTTCAATGTTGGATATCATAATGAGCACCATGACTTCCCTGCAGTGCCTGGTTCTAGATTACCAGAGGTATAATAAAAACTATTGTAGTACATTAATTGTGCGATAATATTATTAATATAAGATATGAAGTTTTTGTATCATACAATGATAATATAATGTTTTTTATTTGTTGTTTAATTTTAACATTTTTATGCAGGTGAGACGTATAGCTGCAGAATTTTACGAAAACTTGCCACAGCATAACTCATGGGCGTCAGTTTTATATGACTTTGTGATGGATCCTGAAATTGGACCGTATGCGAGAATGAAAAGGAAACATCGAGGACTAGATCAATAGATATTAATATTTTTTTATAGACTTACAGTCGGGTGCATTTATGGTGTATGTCTCTTTATGCTTTCATTCGAAAGCGCAGTTTGTGATACGTGAGTTTTTTCTTAAAACGATTAAACTGCACAATTCATTATATGAACTAAAAAGATATGCCTTCACAGTATTGGAATAATGCCATTTCTGAATGTTAGCTTACCATTTTTGCATCCGTATATACTCTTGATATAATGTACAGTTGATATAGCATCTGTTACTTTCAATCGCACATTATATTGTGCCAGTACTTTATATATATATATATATTACGAATTTAAACTTCATTGTGTGTACGAACTATAGTTATGTATTATGTAAAAGTTCTGTTTGTATAATTGATTATGTTGCTATACGGAATTGTACAGAAGATCTACTTGACCTCAAAATGGTTTGAACATTTTTTTATGCAATTTGGTATGTAGATTTAGTGATAGAATTGGAAATTAATAAAAAAATAAGTGTCCTCATTTCAGATCATTGGTTGCACTCCAAATTGCATTACAAAAAACTTCAAACCATATTTTAACCAAATGAGCAAATTATTTCTGAGAGTAATCTGTGAGTGGCAGATGCTAGGATGCTCATGATATTTTCTACATTGTAATGTAAATTTAAAAGATATTTAGGGACGATAATATTAGCTCATGACAAGTATAGTTCTGAAATTATTAATTTGTTAAACTATTTGTACATACAAGTAGTTACAATGCATCACTCTTTGGTTATTTAAGTAGGGTTGTCAAATTTATATCAAGGATTATTTTGTAAGATAGCATTATCAAAAGAGTAGATATATATAAATGAATGTAATCCTTTATGCTCAACTGATCTATATAACTCAATAATATTGTCTAATATCTTTTATTCAAATTTAATTTATATTTTACAGTATTAAATGGATCTGTAATTTATGTCACGCGCAAAAGTATATCATCTACAAATCGGTGTAATGTATAACGTTGCATTAAAAAATCGAATCTTATGAAATTTATTATATTAAATATGAATTTTTCTTTTATATATTTGGAATTATGTATGCTGTTTTAATGAAATGCAAATTGGTATGATAAACTATGTAGCAAATTATTGTAAAAAATCTACGAATGCTTTTACAATATAAAATTATATATTTAATTACTATTTCATTTTACTTTATTACAAAGTCCTTCCATGGATGTAAGAATATAAGGATAGAACGTAAGCTGAGTTGATGGCAAGGGAGGTGAAGCCGATTTGAGGGACGAGGTATCTCTAAACTATGCCTGAATTTGATTGGTTGAGTTGTACTCATGCGCAGTACTGCCAATTATAAACGAAGTATTAAGAACATGAACATATAATTCAGAATAATACGTGAAAAATTAATAACATAGCGATTCTATGCAAAAATAAGTAAAAAAAAAGAATAACATTTTTTTTATTGCAACTTCATTTTCGAGAAAATCGAGGTTAAAGATTTGTCGAGTAAAGATCTTACTCTTGGCAATGCATTCCTCTTAATTTACATATAGATTCACTGTTAGTAAATGACTCTTCGTTAAAGTGCAGGGAGCAAACGCGGGATGAATTCGATATTGATTTAATATGTAATATATCAAGCCAACATTTACGAAACATATATGCTTCCATTGAGAGGGTGGGATATGGAGGGAGAGATAGTAAAAAGGGAAAGAGACGTGCAAAAACAGTGGATAGAAAGTAAGATTAGGGAGGCAAAGTATAATAAAAGGTATAAAGATATAAGGAAGATAGGGGAGGGACATAAGTATTTGGAAAAGAGCAGTTTGATAAGGATGGGAGCAAAGGCGGGGGGAGAAGTGAGAGCGCTTATTAAGTTAAGGTGCGGTAATCTGGAGTTAGAAAATAAGTATTGGTTAGAGGAGGAAGAGAGAAAGTGTGTAATGTGTGGGAAGGAGCAGGATGAGATGTATCATTATATGTATACATGTGAGTGGGGAAAGAGATGGTTCGAGGAGATGGATAGTATGGAAGGTAGGGGAAAAGAAAGGATATGGGATGATGAAATCGATGAGATTAAAGGGAAAGTATTAAAAAGAATGTGGAGAGAAAGGGAGGGTAAAATCAAAGAGAGAGAAAGAGTAGGAGAAAAAGAAAAAGAAAAAGGACAAAATGAAATAGGGTAAAGGAAAGAAGAAAGAGAGAGGAGAATTTAATGTGATATAGATATAGAAAGTATGGAGGAACGGAAAGAATGAATGAATGGAGGATGTATGAAATGTGTGAGGTAGTTGTTTAATGTAAACCAAGTCCCCTTCTTGGCTATTTAATGTATATAGCTGAATGGTAATAAATATATATATATATATATATATATATGCTTCCATTGAGCATCAAATATTAAGCATTAATCATCAATGGCTTGGTTTACATCGTGCACTTGATACGCGTATTAAATAGTAACTTTCTATTAGATAATCTTAATATCGACAATGCATATCAATGGCGACGCATTACGCAATACAATACGTTTTCTTGATGAGTATTATATCAGCTTAATATATCGTTGTTTATATATATATCGTCGATATTAAGATTATCTAAAGGGACGTCTACATTGGAAGTAAGCAGTAAGAAGTAGGAAGTAAGAATAAGAAATTGACCAATCATAGTTGATTATTCTTCTCACATTCGAGTATGGTTGGTCAATTTCTTACTCTTACTTCCTACTTACTTCCAATGTAGACGTCCCTTAATAGAAAGTTATTATTTAGTACGCGTATCAAGTGTACGATGTAAACCAAGTCAATATGACGACTTAATATTCAATGTTTATTGGTCCGTACGATCTTATGCTATGCATATGCGCTATGTAATTTTATGTGTGATGGCCCTTACTCCATCTATGTAGTAGATGGGAGCGGTGCACTTGGACACGGTGCATTTGGACACAGCCAATCACAGCACCGTGTACTTAGAGACATTTGTAGGGTCCCTTGGAACAGCGACTTGTGATTGGACTGTGTCCAATTGCCCCGTGTCCAACTGATATACACCCATTGTAGATCGGGCCTTACTTATGTCAATTCGTATGCGGCGTTCTTTATACGTTTATATATTCGATATTTAAATAATATGTATAAACGTATTGCAGTTTATAGGTGCGTTCGGGATATAATTATTATTAATTAATTATTATTAATAAAACGTATCTAAGCGACATAAACGGAGGTCTTTATGATATAAGAAATTTATTAGTGATTTTGAGGTTAACCACGAGGTAAGTAATATATTTATAATCTCTGTTAACAAGTATCTTACGCGAACAATTCTATACTTTATTTTAGTATCGGTATTATAGAGTGTTATTTTAAAATAAATATTAAAGCATTATCACGTATGCCCAAACATATGTATCTAGTATATGTGCTATTTTATACTTACATTAGACGAAAAATTCAATATCATATGCAATAATTGTTTTAGTAACTGTCAGAATGACTATCAGAAATATTAACAAATATATATCTTATAATGTGTTCATAATCAAGAAAAAACAGTGTTCAGGGAGCATTAAATTTTGTTTAACATAGTGCAAGAAGTGATTTCTTAGAAAATGAGGTAGTAATATGAAATAAGTATGAAAATAAAGAAAACTTTTATTTAGAAAGAAAATAAGAACTTGCAAATAAAGATATAAATCAAAAGGTAGGAAAAAACAATCCGAGTTCAAGCACAGGACTAATAGTGCTATATATCATATGGATAAAACAACCTTCCTTATGTTAGGAAATCGTGTAACATTTATTGAAATGAATAATCAATTTAAAAACATTCAAACGTTTTGGCTCAACCGTGAGCCCTCTTCAGTGATAAAGAATCTCAAGGCTTAACGACACAAACACATTACAATAAGTAGAAGACCAGCGCAAAAACAGACGTGGGTGTTATGATATATAGCACTATTAGTCCTGTGCTTGAACTCGGATTGTTTTTTCCTATCTTTTGATTTAAAACTTTTATTATTGAATTCCTTTGAATGTAAAAATCATAAGTTATTACCACCTTGTTTTATATTTTTCCCTATGATCTGCTTCTTTTATTTGCATTACTTATAAAAATATTTTTTCAGATGAAACGATTCGACGATAATCTTACTGCTATTGGTAAGAAATGGTATGAAGAATATCAGAAGACTGAGGAACCATGCAAACATTCTGTGTCAGAAGTAAATGTACTGGATTTGAAAGAAGAAGGAAAAAGGTATTTGGACGCAGAGACCAATGCTTTTCAGGTGAAACAGTCAAAATCAAAAGATTCGAATTCAAGATGGCTAAAGACAGTAGTAAAGCAGGGTACCACTTCGGACAAAGTAGCAGCCAGCATAGTACTGATACAGGATAATCCCAAGTACAATCTTGGTCGCCTAATAACCTTAGTGTCTCAAGTACGAGGTGCTAAGCACAATCAATGCAACATGATCGTCGCCTCCCTGAAGGAACTTTTCCTTGATGACTTGTTGCATCCCAAATTCAGGTTGTTGAAATTGGAGGAGCAGGACTTGGACAAGCTCAATCTAGAAAATGAGTCGAACGCCATCGTCAAAACGAGCGGCGCAAGGAACAGGCTGCTGGCGCATTGGTTCTACGAGGACCAACTTCGTGAACAATACGAACGTTTCATTTTGAATCTGTCTGCGGTTGCTTCCGACACGATAGATACAAATCGCGAGAAAGCCATAGCCGCGATGACGGATCTTCTGATAGGCAACGCCGAGCAAGAACACAAGCTGCTGGAACTGATAGTCAATAAGATCGGCGATCCCAATTGCAAGGTGGGATCCAAGGCTGTGTTCTGTATTAACAAGCTGCTGCACGAGCACCCGAACATGAAGCTCGTGGTTCTGCGCGAGATCGAGAAACTGTTGTTTAGGAAGAACGTGGCGCAACGCACGCAGTATTACGCCATATGTTTGTTGGCGCAATTCATCTTGGATGCACAGAGCGACGAGATAGCCGCCACGTTGATTGAAGTGTACTTCGCCTTCTTCAAGGCGTGTCTGAAGAAGGGAGAACCCGACAGCAGGATGATGGCGGCGATTTTAACGGGTGTCAATAGGGCATATCCTTTCGCCAACATAGGCTCGAGCGTGATGAACGAGCACATCGACTCTGTTTACAAAGTGGTGCACTTTGGGTCGTTTAACGTCTCCCTCAGTGCACTCAACTTGTTGCTTCAAGTAAATATCGCATAATAGCATTCACTATGATATGTGTATATATGACGTTTAATATTCTCTATCTTAGGAATCTTATTCTTAGGAACTATTTATCTTTTTATGTAAGATCATTATTACACTCAATATGCCTTTAAATTGTTTAATAGATTATAATTCTATAATTGGAAATACTTATAATAATTTAATTAATATATATTGTGCATACCTTGCATTGTCTATTTTTAGAACTGTTATTATACATAATTTAACAGATTCTTTATAATTTGCTATTTTTATTGTGTGTTTTCTTTGTTTTAAAATGTTTCATATTGTTTTTATATAATTTGTCATTCTTTGTATATTATCAAATTAGAAATTATTGTAGAGATATTTTTTCTGTGAATTATATAATAATATAAAATTTATTTATTTTTATATTATTATACAAAAGAGTAAAAAAGATAATATTTTTTCTTATAAATTAATATAAAAATAAATAAGCTTTACATAGACGCATTTGGTTTATTAAGAAGAATCATATTTTCAGATCACAGGCAAGGATGAGTCTCAGGCAAGCAGATTTTATTCAGTCTTCTATAGGAAACTTTTGGATCCGCAAATAGGAACGGCGAATAAACGTGCGATGTTTTTAAACCTGTTATACAGAGTTTTGCAGCGGGATCAAAGCGTGCTGCGTTTGTACGCTTTCATCAAAAGAATCCTGCAGATTACGATATACTTCCCGGCGAATATGGCCTGCGCAACACTGTACATTGTTTCTAAAATTCTTCAAAGCCGCAAACACCTCAGACACATGTTGTTTGAACCTATTAAAATCGAGAAAGAGGATGTATGTGAAGTAAGAGACGACTTATCGGATACAGAAGACATTCATGTGATAGACGAAGTTAAAGTTGAAGACGAAGAGGACAATATCATGTTATCAAACGTTATGATTGGCGCGGAAGCCGCGCCAGAAACGAAGCCGGACGTAAAAGTCGAAGTGGAGGTCACAAAATTGTATGATCCTTTTTGTCGGAATCCGCTCTACGCGGGTGCGACTAAAGGGTTCAACATGGAACTCACGGCGTTGTCCAAACATTTTCACCCGAGCGTCGCCTTATTCGCAAACGCGATCATTCAAGGTATAACACAAATTCTCCAACTATTTTAATTTCAATCTTATATCAAGTATACACTTTTAATTATTTCACATATTCACACGTATATTTTTTTTATTGTGATTCTCATATGGATTTTGCATTCGTAGGAAACCCGATCAACTACACGGGAGATCCGTTGGAGGACTTAACGTTGATACGATTCTTAGATCGATACGTCTTTAAAAACCCGAAGAAGCTGGACGACAAGAAGGTGCAAAGGAAGAACGATCTTATGGCACAACGCGCCGGGTATACACCAAAAGGCTTACGCTCCCTTCCCGTGGATAGCGCGGCGTATCTCAACGAGATGGAGGAACGAATACCGGTGGATGAACTGTTTCTTTACCGGTTCTTGAAACAAAAGAAAGAGATAAAGAAGCGTATCAAGAAAGAGGACGACGAAGACTTGGAGAGTGTTAACAGCGAGGAATTCAACGAGATGCTGGATAACTTGAAGAGCGGTCAAGATTTCGATGATTTGGATATCGCGGCCGATATCGTGCCCAGAAAGAAGAAAGGTAATATTGTATTTTTATATTAGAGAAATAATAAAATAACTGCAAACCTCGTCGATCTGTTTAGACAAAAAGGCAAGGATAATTCTCTTCGTTAAAATTTAAAGTTGACGGTTTTAATGTTTTCCCTATAAGCACAAAAACTTAATAATAATTATCAACCATACTTTGCACTGAATTATTGTTACTACTGCTAATTGGATTTAATGCAATTTTCAGGAAAAGTTGATGAAGAGTCCGATGATGATGAAAACGATAATCAATCTGAAGATGATGTCGATGAGGACGATAACGAAGATGAATTTGAAGAGGATAATATCGTGGATGACGACAAATTGCAAGATTTGAGCGACATTGATCTCGCGGACGTGGATGATGATCTCAGCGATATGGAATTCAACGAGGGCGGTTCCGAGGACGAAGACGATAATCTGAACGATGAGTTGGTTTCGGGTTTGAAGCAAAAGCTGCAGCAGCAGCAGGGTTCCAAGAGTAAGAGCAAAGAGAAGAAAAAGGGGAAGGGAATCGACAGCAATATATTCGTGTCAGCGGAGAAATTCGCGGAGATGTTGGAGGAACAGAGCAGAGCGAGAGGCAAGCACGGTAGTAGCAATGCTTTCAGTAGTAGCGACGGAGCCAGTGCCAAGCAAATAGATTGGGAGATACAACGAAACCAGCGGTTGAAGGGACCGTTCGGTAGAAAGAAACGTAAGCCCGCCGCGAAACAAACGTCTAATAATAAGCGAATAAAGAGATTTAAACGATAAATTACTTAATAAACATGTTTTATAAATACAACCTTACATTCGTTTACAGTATAGTCCTCTCTTCCTTTCCCTATGTGATAAATGTATTTTTATTCCTTGTTTACTTTAAGGCGATACGACACAGCGATATGAGGACGACAAAATACAAATCTGATTATTTGTTCTGATTAGTATTTGATTAATTGCTCACGTACAAAAGAACTCTTGGAAATCTTCTCGAGGTTCTTCGGGCGGAAAAGTATTGACAACCGAGATATATATATATATATATATATATATATATATATATATATATATATATATATATATATATATATCATCCTTACATTGTCAGTACAACACACGCGTATAATACACACGCATTTCTTTTGTCATTGACGCGAAGTTCATATCTGGCAAAGTCGATTAAGAAGATTCGGATAATCGAACGCACTACGTATATTTAGTATAAATGACACTTTTCAATAACGGCATTGGATCCCGTCATTTCTAAATAATTTTATAAGTTAGCTATTAAATTATGAAAGTGTGAAAAGTACAAAAATACTATACAATTTCAAAATTTTCTACGTGAGGATAAATATACGAAAGAGTGCACGAGCTACATTCACATTAGACAACGTAAATGTGGGCTAAATTGAAGAGAGATCAGATTTTGTGTTTAAAATTTCCGTATTCCCGTTGCATTATACATCATACCCAGAAACGTCATTTTTTTCGGATCAATTAATTGGATATATCTGCGAATTTATATATAAATCGTACATTTTTTGTTAAAAATCGTATTTGAATTTCAGAATAAATAATAATCGAAAGTGACTTACTTTTCCACAACCTAGCTTGGTTTTACAACTTTAACGACTTTTTTAAGTCGTTGTGAACATCTATCCAGATAAACATACATAATTATATATTGCATACAATTAACGAATTATGATCCGTGCAGCGAAAGGATGCCTTTTACACTAGACATGTTTTACATTATTTTTTGCATATGAATAACACGGTAAGTTTACCTAGATAGACCTTTAGCGAGAGGTAAATTCTGGTTAGTAAATTGCGAAACTGGGCTTAAATGTCTCAATTTTTACTGAGAATAAAGATGTTCAAATATATGATTCAAGAAAGTTGATCAGCCCGATGATAGTGGTATACAATTGATATCTCCGCATCTATGTATGAGTGTGCGAAAATATATTTCTTTTATTCTTTATGCTTTTATTTCTTCCCGTCGTAAAATTTTGGTACAACTTTTATGGTGATAGGTATTAAAATAATTCAATCGTACACGTCTCACATAGTCCATTAAATCGCGGTTTAATTATCTTTGACAAATTCGAAGAATGAGTAGGCACTTTGCATAGATGCGAGAGCTTGAACATGTTGATACGCAGTGAATACAGAAGGAAGAGTAAAACAAGTTCAACGAGCCTCTACCGCTCGTTTAAAAGCGTAAGAATATTTTTTATGAATATATATTGAAAAATGTGTGTAATATCTCTTTAAGAAATATCTTTAAGATGTGTAAATCAACGATATTGTAGGACTGCTACTTAAAAATTCATATTTTATATGTTACTAGTAGCATTATGCTTTATATATTATTGATAAATAATAACGCTATTGATTGTGTGTCAATACAGTTCACTGATTTCTCGACAATGTACGTGTATTAGACTCTGATCTGGCTCGCTCGTAACTTGACAAAAATTCTTAAAAAAATGAAATGTTAAATTTATATTTAATTTCCACTGTGCAATAACAATAGAGAAATCCGCGGATTTATTTGTTCAATTATCTTTTTTGTTGTTTTTACTTTATTTATTTTTCCTTCTCTCTTTTGTCACGTGCGAATTAGAAAGCGCCGCTAAATACGGCAGATCCTAAAGCGCGCCGTGTACGCGTATCGGAAGGCTGGACGCTACTCCGGGTCAGGTTTTGTAGAACTGTCTTCATCATGGGCAGGACTGTGCCATGTGAGTCGTTCCTCATAAAACTTTATTACGATCTGTGGACACTTCTCATTGGCGATGCGCGCCGGCACCAAATCCGCGTCATCTGTTCCCTTCCATTTCATTAAGAACATAAGTTCTCCACTGGAATCAGTTGCGCCTATAATACGTTCAGGCTCCAGGTTTCTGTCAAAACCTGAAAAAGGAAGTTTCATATTTGCAAATATGGTAAAAATTTGAATATCTCTAGATTTGTTTCTCTTCCTTCTGTTAAAATGCACACACTGTCTCAAGAATAAGTTTTTCTTATTATCAGTATAAAAAATGCTTAATAATACTGATAATTAAGAACAAAAAATTTTTAATATTAAAAATAATGATTTATTACACTAATAAGAAAATAATACTACTATTCTAAAATATTATTTTTAATAATACTAATTATTATAAGAAATTTTTATTACATTCTTGCATACCTTCCAATTTTTTCTCTTCAGCTCCTGCCTTTTTCTTAGCTTGCGAAGGTGTTGGTGTACTGCTACTCTTTCGTTTCTTCAAGTCTTTATCTTCATGACCTCTTTTGCCAGATGCTACTGCTTCCTTCTTTTTACGCTGTTCCTCGAATTGAGCGATCAGATCAGGACAATCTAAATTCTCCTCAGGTTCCCACGTATTTTCATCGTTAGAGTATCCTTTCCATTTTAAAAAATATTCTACCTGTAATTTAGAGTTACATTCAGAATAATTTAGAGTTACATTTAGAATAACGTCTTCTCATAAACTATAGTTATCTTACACGTTACATAAATAATACTATAGTATATACCTTGCCCTTTACAACTCTTCGGTCTAAAACCTTTTCTACACTGAACTCTTCTTCACCTTCAGCATCAGTTGGTGGAGAATCCTTTACTTTGCTCATTATTACTTGTTAACTGCAAACACAGTTTAGTCATTTGTACAAATCTAGGGACACAAACAACATATATTGACAATATATTGATAAGAGCATGGAGTTAAATAAAAAGTGCCAGAGAACAAGGTAGGCCGAAAAAATTGGCATGCACATAAGTGAATAAATACAAAAGATCGAGGCCGCAAAAACTGCATGATTAACCGCCATATAAAGAAAAAAAGATCGGAGTAACAAGAGACAGTCGTTATCAACTCATTTGCACAAGACGATACGCAAATACGATAACAGACTATCTCATACCAGACGATAGCACACTGCGTCGACATCCGAAACCGCTCGCAGACACTCGTAAATAAAATCGAGAGGACGACAATAAAGCGAAAACAAAGACTCAAGGTACGTCATCGGCGATGGCGGGAAGACGCGCGAAATCGCATCGGAAACGTAACAAGAAGTTCTCGCGTACGAAAAGGAATTCAACACTACACGAAAGAAGTCACAGATGATTTTCGTGCGGCGAGGAAGATCTCGTGAGATCGCGAAACCGACGCGAAATTATCGTGGATCATTGGCAATGCAAAATGGCGGCGACAGTGACGCGTCGCCGGCATTCTTGTGACGCTCAGCTTGCTGATGGACTCGCGTTGTCATGAACGTCCGTTATTGGCCTAAACGTTCGCGACCACGTTGTCGAGGACTCACCTGAGCCAGAGGAATAGAAATCACGAAACTTACAACAAAGAATTCCGTTCCTTGCGAAAGCAGTGGATAAAAGACGTGATTCCTTCAAGGATCACTGCGTCGTGGTCTCGCGCGTTGCACGCGAAAAGCGTTACCGCGAAAAATGCAAGGTTTGCCAACACGACGGAATGATTGTGCCGCGCTTACTCTTGCCTAGATGGAGCTGATGTGAGGTTTGTTCTTTTTAGTTGGACCATCTGGGCAAGCGCCATTGGGCGCGTTCAGCGAAAAAAGCTCTCAGTGAGCAATCAGTGATTATTAGTTCTTAAGCTTAAATAACACTAAAGCCCGTATCAGACTATAGATTAGGATTGAGATTGAATTAAAATTGAGCCAATCAGAGCAAAATTCATTAGGCTCAAGTTCGGTGAACTTTCCTCTGATTGACCAATTTTCAATTAAATCTCAATCTTAATCCATAGTCTGATACGGGCTTAACGATTGGCGATAGATGATTGACGATTGAAGATTGGAACTTGACCAATTGGAACAAAGCAAGCCAAGGCTGAAGCTTGTTGATTCGTTAAAATTTAATCTTTAATTGTCAATCGTCAATCGCTAATCGCTAGTGTGATTTGGTCTTTAGGCTAGTGGCACACAGAAAAACTTAAACAGTAAAACGTAAGCAGTAAGCAAATTGACCAATCACTGTAGTTGATTTTTTTTTATGGTCCAAGAATCAACGACTATAATTGGTCAATTTCCTTACTGTTTACGTCTTAAGACTGGTTTATGATGAACGTAATCCGTTAATTTATGCCGGAACCGTAAAAAATTGAACAATTACAGTCGATTATTCTTCTATAATTCTATAATTCTATAATAGTTTATTATTTTAAAAATAATCAACTGTGGTCAGTTTCTTACGGCTTAAGAATTAAAGCAAGGTTGTGGACAAGAGGTAAATCTAGACCAATTACATTGACGAATTGCTCAACTGTTGTGCAACTGTTGAGTTTACTGAACGCATCCATTGATTGCATTTAACAGACTCAACAGTTGCACAACAGTTGAGCAATTCGTCAATGTAATTGGTCTGGATTTAGGGATCAAAAGCCCATTCTACAATTGCGTAAGCGTAGTCGTGAACGTAAGAGTCAATCAATCCGAATGTTTTATTTACTGACTGCTTTATTCTGATTGGTTGTCGTAATCACATACAACCACGTTCACGCAATTGTAGAATGGGCTTAACAGTTAAGCGTCTTCTACAATGGCAGTAGGAGTAGTAGTAAGAAATAAGCAGTAAGTAAATAGACCAATCACAATCGATTATTTTTGAAACGTGAGAATGGAATTGGTCAATTTGCTTACTGCTTATTTCTTACTACTACTCCTACTGCCATTGTAGAAGACGCTTTAAGCTGGTGGCACATAGAAAAACTTATGCAGTAAGAAATAAGCGAATCAGCCAATCACAGTCATTGATTCTTGGACCGTAAGAAGAATCAACGACTGTGATTGGTCAATTTGCTTACTGCTTACGTCTTAATGTTTAAGTTTTTCTATGTGCTACGGCCTTAAGAATCAATAATCGCTGATTGCTCACTGAGCGCTTTTTCTGTTGAACACACCCAATGGGTACGTTCAGTGAGCTCAACAGTTGGATAACAGTTGAGCAATTTGTCTGTAATTGGTCTAGATTTAAGGATCTAACAGTAAAAACCAATAATCGCTGATTGCTCACTGAGCACTTTTTCCGCTGAACGTGCCCATTGGCTTAATTCGAAATAACGTTCTAGAAGTTTTATTCGATTTGATGTTCCACACACGTTGCTGTTCTCTTCGTCGCAGTAGCTCAGAGACTCGAGACTTCGCAAGGTGGTAGCAAGGTCTTTTAGATCATCACAAAGGTTCGTCGTAGTATCGTGAACATCGTATTCACCAAAGTAATATTATATTGAGTAACCTCATGTGAAAAGTCACTTTACATAACGAAGACATGTAAATCTGACGATACTCTTTAATATTCATATTATTTAATGTTTACAGCGTAATAATAGGTAGAGATGGCTACTCGCTCGGTGCTTAGGTATTTACGACCAAAAACCGTGTTGCTCCAGAATCATCGATGTGCCTCTCTGTCAGGTTTCGATATCCAGCACAAAACCCCTGCCATCAAGAAAGTGATGCCGATACCAAAGGCCCATTACGGCGGCAGGCACACTGTCACTATGCTGCCTGGAGCTGGTATCGGGCCAGAGTTGATGTCTTACGTTAAAGAGGTATGCAACATTCATCCTTGAATTTGTATTGTTTTGCAACATCAAAGTGCATTGTAACAAGAGTCCTGTCGTTAATTTATTGCTTAAAGCAAATATTGATACAGATGCTTAATTTACTTTATAGATGCATACTATGTTCTTTATGAATTTGTTTCCCATATTTTGTGAACATCCTAATTTACATTTTCAAGAAAAGAAAATGCTAAAGCCAGATCTGATCTGCAATATATTCTTTCTCTTTTATTTTCTGATTTACTTTTTTTTCTAATTTATTTTTCTTTCTGGTTTAAAGCTTAAAGTAGGAAAAGATAATGAGAAATAGGAAGGGAAAAAACACATTATGGATTTGATCCATAGTCTGATTTGTCTAATTTCCTTCTTAGAAGAGGGAATGCTAAAACTTTATTTAAGATACATTCTTTATTTCTTGCTTTTTGTTTTTGTTCTTTATTTCTTGCTCTTTCTCTTTATTTCTTTCTAATTTGAGTCTTAAGTTAGATAAAGGTAAAGAATAAAAAGTAAAAAGTATATTTTGTAGATATGTAGCACCAACTTGGAAAGCAGATCAAATATCTTTTTCACACTATGGAAACCTAAAATATTAAATTAAAATATTAAATGTTAAAATAGTGTTTATATATTCTTTAGTAGTATGGAATGTATATAGGATATTTGATGCAACATATAGAAAACCATATAGAAGATAAAGGCAATTTGAACATGAGGATTCTGAGCATTTTGTGAACAACCACATGAAATTTCATAATATTAAAAAAAGAAGATTGGTTTATCAATCTTTTTTCGTTAATGTCTCAAAATTTTATATAGTACGTATATGTCAGACAGTCTTGGTATTAGGTCTTTGTTATGAATTCTGTCTTTTATTGAAAAAAGTCTTTCTAAATGTGGTATTTAAGTAATATTTAGAGGCACTGTCATTGATAAAAAGATATTCACAATAAAAGTCATAGTTATTAGCTACATAAAACTAATTATTAATATATGCTAATAATTATTATAATTATTATATATAGCAAGTTATATGAGAATGGAATAATATTCTAAATGATTTAGAACTGATTTCTTTAAATATTTTACTATTTTTAATAACGTTAATAAAATTTATAAGAATATTAAATAGAAATAATAAAATAACATTACATTATATAACACACATTAGCTTAGTTTCCACATAGGAACTAAGACCTAGTAAGGCATGAATTCAGTATGGCATTTAACATGTTAACATTGTAAATAGATTTACTTGTATTATTTTCAACTTTGCATAATAAATAAGATTGATAGTTGTAGGACTCTGCTAAATTGTACTTTTATTGATCTATGTTTGAAAAATCTGCTTTAAATAAATTAAATAGTATAAATTATAAAAAATTCTGAACTTTTAAATAAAATTTCTTAAATTTCAATTTATATTTAAATAATATATATAATTTTTAATCATTTTAAATATAATAAATATGTTAAATAATATATAAACATAATAATTATACATAATATGTAAGTATTAAATAAACTGAAATGTACATGGACACTTAGTAAAAGATAATCATATCTTCTGCAGGTCTTTAAATACGCCGGTGTTCCGGTGGATTTCGAAGATGTTGAGTTCGATTTAAACGCTAATGATAATTTGGATTTGGACTACGCGATCACGTCGATTCGTAGGAACGGAGTGGCGTTGAAGGGTAACATAGAGACTCACAGCACCGAGGTCGGCGTAATCTCCCGAAATGTTGCGCTGCGAAATGAACTGGATCTCTATGTGAATGTGCTGCACTGCGTGTCTTATCAGGGCGTGAACTCTCGTCAGAAAAACATCGACATCGTGATCATCCGGCAGAACACCGAAGGCGAGTACGCGATGCTGGAGCACGAGAGCGCTCCAGGCGTGGTTGAGAGCATGAAGGTGATAACGAACTCCAACTCGGAACGCGTGGCACGCTTCGCGTTCGAGTACGCCAAGAGGCACGGCAGAAAGAAGGTGACGACGGTACACAAGGCGAATATTATGAAGCTGTCGGACGGTCTGTTCCTGGAAATCTCGCGGCGCGTCGCCAAGGACTATCCGGAGATCGTGCATAACGATATGATTATCGACAACACGTGCATGCAGCTGGTATCGAATCCGCATCAGTTTGACGTCGTGCTCACGACTAATCTGTACGGCGCCATCATATCGAATGTGGTGTGCGGTCTATTGGGCGGCGCCGGATTGTTGTCCGGGAAGAACTACGGCGACCACTACACAGTCTTCGAGCCTGGCACCCGCAACACCGGCACGGCGATCGCCGGCAAGAACATCGCCAACCCGATCGCGATGCTGAATGCTGCGGTCGACATGCTGCGTCATCTCGGCAACAAGAATCATGCTAGTATTATTCAAAACGCGATCAATAAGACCATTAACCAAGGCGTGCACACGCGCGATCTCGGCGGCACCGCGACCAGCCGCGAGGTCGTCGATGCTATCTTGAAGCACATCAAGATCGCGACCATTTAAGAGAAGACTGACAATTTCCCTCTTCTAGCCAAAGCCGCTTGTAGCAGCCGTTCTTGTGAGCCATCTGGTAATGAATGATCTGCACAAGCTCGTGGTACAGACGTATCGAGAGTCTCGTGCGGTATTTTTTTAGTGAGATGACACAAAGATTTAGGTAGGATAATTACGACGAAACGATATTGTGAATGAACAAGGAATGATAGGTATACGACTGTGAGATTTCGTCTCACGCTCACTTTTCTCTCTGAAACGGCAAATCATTTCTTGCACAAAATTTTCACGGAATCTCGAAGCGTGCACGGACAACCCTCGGCGGTGCTCGACGTTCTATTGTGTAACTCGTGTGATTTATGCAATAATCGGGATTTTGTAAAATAAATACTGTACATTGTTGTAGGTAATGGTAGTTCCTATAGGCAAATTTACCAAATACTGCGATCGCACCAGTCGTGGTGGTGGCAGGCAACGTTTGCGAAGATACGCGCGAGATACTCTGTCGTTATTATAATACTCACTTGAATAAAGAAGAGATATACGTATAAGGAAAATGACAGGGATTCGTTCGTGTTTCGTCGCTTTAGTACAATTCTATCTGGTTGAGCTGAAATTTTTCGAGATACAGTGTAAAATTGTCAATATCCTATGCACAGTACAACCATTACATCATAGAATGTACATACTGCGAAAGGTTACGTCGCGTTCTTGAATAAAGTGTAAATTTATTAAATAAAGCATATAAATTTACATTTCTAAATATTTTCTTAATTCAATTGCGTAACAGTTGCAGAGCCAATTCTTCGTCGATCTGCAGTGTCCGATACCTTTTACCTCTTCTGCATTCTTCTGTGTTCCTTTTGAGTCAACAATTTTCTCTTGAAAGGCCTATGACAAAAGTGTTCAATTAAGTAACAAACGTTTCAGTCGTGCGCGCTCGCAAAAAAGAAAATAGTTTGATATAATTTAAAATAAGATAGAATGTAATTTGAGTTTAAACTAGTATCCGTATCTATGAATTAAAAACAATTTTTCACTTTTGTTATTAATTACACTGAAATTATTTAAATTTATTTTCTTTAATATTTTTTTACCTGTGAAGTATATTTTCTTCCTCGGATTCTTCGTTTTCAGATTCTTCATTCTCCTTGAGTTTCTCGTTTTCATCGAATTCCGTAGAGGACTCGTTACCCAGATAGCCAAACCTGTGCGAGCAGATTTTACGCAGAGTCTGTCAACAGTATCTGTTGACAGAATGGCAACAGACTGCACACAGAAACTGTTTTAGCAGTCTCTGACGACAGATTGGTGACAGATTGCGCGCAGAACCTGTCGACAGATTCTGACGATAGACTGACGGCAGATTCTGTTTCCTAGATAGGCTATTTAATTCTATTAAGGGCCATGTGTACGTTATTAAATGGGGCAGTTTCACATACACACCATGCTGCAGAGAAGTCAAGATAATTATATTGTGCAATAATTGTACACATATACACAATAAAAAACAATGTTTATATTTTAAAATTGTATTACACATTTTTTATAAAAAAACAACAATAATAGAGAAATAACGAGTACAAGTATAGAATAGTACAACGGTTAAATGGCCATTTAAAGGCGTACACATGTCATTCCTGGTAAAAATTGTTCTCATAATTTTTCATACAATTTCTCATCTTATTATTTTTTTAAATGTTGTTATGTCATTAAATCCGATTTAACCGTCATGCAATAAGTATTGAAGGCAGCAGCACCGAATAAAATATTAGTCTCGCTATGTAAATAACTTTTACAGAATTTTTTTGATGGTTTATTTAAAAATATATCATGCTTCGATTTTGATAAAACTTAATACAATCTGAACGGGACGATCGACCAAATTAATTCGCACATGTAAAAGTACAGTATTTTATTAACATGATAGAAAAATGTCATTATCTGCTGTTTTATTGCAGTAATTTTCTATACATTCCTTGGTAGAAAATTAATTTCGAATTATCGTACCAGTCTCTCTTACATTATTTATACGCTAAACGGTTTCGTCTATATTTTGCGGCTTAAAAGGCGAACAAACTATAATATTTTTCTTCCTTAAACTTTAAATGGACAATACAAAGCGCTTTTTATCAAGTGAGGAATTGGCGTAGTGTCTAAGGCGACGGACGATTATCCAAAAGATGTCTTCAGTTCAAGTTCGAATCTCACTAGAGAAAATATTAAAAATTATGAAAAAATAATGTAGAGAAATTTTTTTTGTCATAGTATTTTATGAGTATTTATGAGAAAGCGCTTATTCTATGAGTAATTATGAAAAATTATGAGAAAATTTAATTGAAGAACCTACGAAACGACAGGATCTGCGCGTAATCTGCAGCCAATCTGCCGTCATAGTCTGTCGACAGGCTCTGCGCGCAATCTGCCGCCAGTCTGTCGTCAGAGTCTGTTCGCAAACCCTGTCAACAGTCTGGCGGTAGATTGGGGACGCAGATGTCTATGGATCTGTCGACAGATCCTGCTCGGATTCGACAGATCCTGTCGACAGTCTGACGTCAGTCTGCGCGCAGATTGCTTACTGGGTATCTTCTTCATCCGTATTTCGTTGTTTACCGTATATTTTATCCGGATCAGGTAAACACGACATGTCTTGATTCTCGCTAGATTCAGCTTCGCTGACATAATCGTTATCTGCATCTTCCTTTGTTTCTTCCTTGTTGTTCGTATTCGCTTTCGCTTTATAATTTAAAATAAGATAGAATGTAATTTGAGTTTAAACTAGTATCCGTATCTATGAATTAAAAACAATTTTTCACTTTTGTTATCAATTACACTGAAATTATTTAAATTTATTTTCTTTAATATTTTTTTACCTGTGAAGTATATTTTCTTCCTCGGATTCTTCGTTCTCAGATTCTTCATTCTCCTTGAGTTTCTCGTTTTCATCGAATTCCGTAGAGGACTCGGTATCTTCTTCATCCGTATTTCGTTGTTTACCGTATATTTTATCCGGATCAGGTAACCACGACATGTCTTGATTCTCGCTAGATTCAGCTTCGCTGACATCATCGTTATCTGCATCTTCCTTTGTTTCTTCCTTGTTCGTATTCGCTTTCGCTTTATAATTTAAAATAAGATAGAATGTAATTTGAGTTTAAACTAGTATCCGTATCTATGAATTAAAAACAATTTTTCACTTTTGTTATCAATTACACTGAAATTATTTAAATTTATTTTCTTTAATATTTTTTTACCTGTGAAGTATATTTTCTTCCTCGGATTCTTCGTTCTCAGATTCTTCATTCTCCTTGAGTTTCTCGTTTTCATCGAATTCCGTAGAGGACTCGGTATCTTCTTCATCCGTATTTCGTTGTTTACCGTATATTTTATCCGGATCAGGTAACCACGACATGTCTTGATTCTCGCTAGATTCAGCTTCGCTGACATCATCGTTATCTGCATCTTCCTTTGTTTCTTCCTTGTTCGTATTCGCTTTCGCTTTATAATTTAAAATAAGATAGAATGTAATTTGAGTTTAAACTAGTATCCGTATCTATGAATTAAAAACAATTTTTCACTTTTGTTATCAATTACACTGAAATTATTTAAATTTATCGGACACCGCCGATCTGCAGATCGACGAAGAATTGGCTCTGCAACTGTTACGCAATTGAATTAAGAAAATATTTAGAAATGTAAATTTATATGCTTTATTTAATAAATTTACACTTTATTCAAGAACGCGACGTAACCTTTCGCAGTATGTACATTCTATGATGTAATGGTTGTATTGTGGTTGTAGGATATTGACAATTTTACACTGTATCTCGAAAAATTTCAGCTCAACCAGATAGAATTGTACTAAAGCGACGAAACACGAACGAATCCCTGTCATTTTCCTCATACGTATATCTCTCCTTTATTCAAGTGAGTATTATAATAACGACAGAGTATCCGCTTTCAGTTTCATCTTCTCTTCCTTGTGTTTTGCCCTCACTCTCTCCCGGTGTCTTTGTTTATCGAACTGGTCTTCCTCGCGCAACACTTGTTTGGATATTTCGATGTTAATGCCAGAGTCGATCTCGTTTTCGTATTGTCGGGCCAATTCTGACATTTTCATTCGAGCTGAATCAACCAATTCCTAAAATATGGATATTTTTATTAATCTTTAATTTTTGATAATTTCAAGACTACATATCACGTATAATTTACACACACACATACACACACACACACACACACACACACACACAAATTATTTAATATATTATACATATATAGTTAATATATACAGGTATGATATATTCTCATAGTTCTATACAAGATTAGTAGAAAATTAGAATGTGTAGAAATCACAGTGATAACGATTCTTACTTGACCCTTCTCGTCAAATACAGTTTTTTTGCTTGCTATAACATTTTTCTTAAGCATCTTTTTAGCCCATTCAGCCTTTGTAATGATTTTCTTTTTCTTCAAAGTCTTATTCTCATCATCTTTTATCATTGGCACGTCATTGATATCTATATGCTGTCTCTTTACCGTCAAGAGATCATCATCATCGCTAGAAACATCTGAAAAAATCGTGTAAATTCATATGTAGTTAATAAAATTTGTTTATTATCTCCAACTTAATAAACGTCAAAATTTCTTATTATTAATGTATCATTTCTTATTAACTTATCATTTTCAACTTAATAAACATCAAGAAAAGCATTCGATTTGCTCACCAAAATGAAGAGTGGTATTTTCCTCTTTGATCGCTTTTTTTCTTTCCTCTTTATCGGTATCAGAATTATCACTTGCGTCAAAACTGTCTTCATTATCTTCTTCTTCGCTGACGTCCAACGAATTAATCGCAGTCTTACGTATTTTCTCTTTATTCTTGATATTGCTATCAATCATTTTCCTTTTTATTCTCTGTAAAAATCGAGTTCTCGGAGTAATGATTAAGCCTAAAGACCTGTGAAAAAATTCTATTGTAAATAAACGCTCAACGTACTGTTTATCAACAAAGCACAACGTTGAATGGAAAGTATACCTGGCATATGCGTCTTTATCTAAAGAATACACGTCGAAGATCTCTTTATCTTTCATAAGGAAAATTGATTTTATATATGATACAAAGGCCCTTTGAGCGGTTTCCTTTAAGGCTACGTCCCGAGCCAACAAAATCTCCAACTTACGATGCGGCGACTGCAGTTTGTTCGGGTTAATTCTAAATACAAAAATAGACACACAGATAAGACAACGAATGCTTAGAATAAAAGTTAGAATGCGTCACTCACTTGATCATATTTAGAGGAATTTTACGTTGTTGAAGCCGCTCGACCATGGCTTCTTCAGACGGTAACAAAACTAAGAGGGACTCGCCGCCGCTTTTAAACCTGGCTGTTCTACCCGCTCTATGTACGTATGCATTAACATCTTCTGGACAGTCCATTTGAATTACCCAATTGACAGCAGGAAAGTCTAAAAAATTACTATTGATAAGTTATTTAATTGGGTGATTATACAAAAGTGAGAACCTTTATGAAATCATTTTTATGGCATGTGTGTGTGAATTTTCAAATTAATATTCTACAAATTAATATTCTAAAATGTTTCAGAGAAAGATCAGTCACCTAATCCACGGGCTGCGATGTCGGTGGCAAATAAGACAGCGTATTGTTTCTTGCGAAATGTCTCATAGATACTTATTCGTCTCAGTTGATGAAGCGTACCATAAAGACCTAACAAACTGACACCAGGTCGCAGTCGGCAAAACGCCTCGTAGACATATTTGACCTAAAACCAATTTTTCATAAATGAACTATCTCGATTTATCCGGAGTTGTATTATTAAGAACAACCTGAATACCTGTTTACAGCTAGAAAAGAACACAATAATCTTCTGTTTTAGATGATTTCGTATAAACGACCACAGCATAGCCAGTTTATCTTCTAAAGCACACACAATGTAACTTTGTTGCAGACTTTCCGGCGTGGTATATGTTGAATGCTCATGCACAGATATATATAATGGATTTTTAAGACTCAATCTTGCCAGATCTTTCACTGATCTAGTGATAAAATTTAATGTTACCAATAATAAGACATAAAAACTCTAATTTATTGTAATTATTTTTTAACACATACTTTGTCTGTGTTGCCGAGAAAAGCAAAGTCTGCCTTTCAGGTGGCAAATTTTCAATAATAGCATTCATAGTTTTCTCGAAACCCATGTCTAAACAACGATCTGCTTCATCCAATACTAGTATCTATAAGTAATTAATTGTTCATTAATCTTCATAAATTCATTAATTGATTAGCTGATTTAACTTAAGAATGGAACAAGAATACTTTTTGTATTTAAATTTATCTTCAGTACTTTTAATCTTTATTAAATTCATTAACTGATTAGTTGATTTAAGTCTAGAACAGATATTTTTTGGATTTAAACTTTTTTTTTAGGTTAGATTTAAACTTAAGTTTTAATTACCTGCATGTTTACGCAATTAAATAATTGGTTCTCATCCATATGCTGAAGCAAACGTCCTGGTGTGCATATAACTACATTGTACTGATCCATACGTTTTGTCTCAAATTTTAAATCTTTCCCTCCTATGATCAAACCAATTGAGAAATCATGGTGCTGCCCCACTTTTCGCAATGTTTCAAATATTTGATACGCTAGTTCTCTTGTTGGTGTGATAACAAGTGCACCCAAACTATCAAGTCGTGTCCACTGCTTACAGTACAAAATCTCCAGAATCTAAAATGATGACTTACTTGGTCACATGATCATCAACAAAAGAAGAAACAAGAGATAGATTTATAGAATTCATACTGGTACAAGGAAAGCTAGAGTCTTGCCACTTCCAGTCTTTGCAGCTCCCAAAATATCATTTCCCTGCAAAGCCAAACCGATGCTCTGTCTCTGAATGTCTGTCATCTCGATATAATCACTACTTGTTAATCCTTTCAAGGTACTTTTCGACAAAGGGAGATCGCTAAATTTTATTATCTTGGTGACGTCTATCTGTAAATTATATTGCAGATTAATTTTCCGCCTAAGTGTACTGTTAAATGTACTTTGTATTTTGAGGTTATATTTACATTGTTATATCTGGATCGCAGATCCTCGATTATTTTACTCTCCGGTATACGTTGTTTCTTTACATATGCCTTTATTTTCTTTTTGCTTGCCATTGTCATTTAATTTTATTTATTACTTTTTCAATGACGATTATATTATTTCATCTATTCTTAAGAATCTGCAAGAATCGTAGACAAAACGTGCGTTGACTTTGGAGACCTCATGCGGCGAGAACGCGAAGCATTGTCTCTGTATGTATGTCCATACACACGCCGCACACAAACGCATTGTTCGTGTAAACGCAAAAGTAGGAAGGTTGGGTTAAGTTAGTTAGATAAAGACAAATTATCGAACGCCATCTTTGTCTCTTCTTAGTTGTGACGTAAACCTACCCTTCACCGTGTCCTATGCGTATGTATTCCGTAGCCGATACTCGGCCAGAAAATGCTTTCCAGGGTTTTGGCAGAAAGAAGAGGCAGAAACATAATAAATAACATAATAAACTTAATTTAAAAAAATGATATAATATTCATTACATGCATGAATATATTTGTACAAAATATAGTAAAATATCTAATATAGAACATGTTTGCTCGAGTGGTGCGATATAAAAGCTTATTATATTAGAACAAAATTTCATGCAGGCCTATTTGTAAAATCTGGCTGTGTAGACTTCCATAACAATGTAAGGACCAAGTAAAAATGATCTTTGTGGCACACATTAATTCTCCGAAGTAGAATCTCAGACAGCACATGATATCATTCGAATATACTGAATTTATACTGGATGTATATAATGTCCCTTATAGAAATATCATACTAAGAATCATTGATAATTACTTATTATCCAGTATTTTTAATACTGAAAATAAGTAATTATCAATAATTCTTAGTATGATATTTCTATAAGGGGTACTGGTAATATCCGCACATTTTTTATAGTATATCATTTGTCACATATTTTTAGTATATGCTAAATCGAATATTTATTGAATATATTGAATAGGATATTTGTGGAATATATTAAACTCATCAACGATGTTCCGTTTAATTATCAAATGTTATAAGTACATCTTGAAAGTAATATAGCAGTGATTTGGAGGAAAAAAGAAAGAATAGGAAGAGAAAAGTAACGTAAGAGAGTAAGAGTGCATATAGTTCAGTTATAGAAAACAAATATACAATGCATAGATCATATTTTGAACATTTCGAAGCATTTGTAAGATTGGCCAGACTATATTTGTGGTAGTCAATCAATTTACTGCTTTATAATAACAGGGAAAATTTTATTAATTATTTGGTCTCTTTTATCTGAACTTGTTGCACTTCAAAAAATAAACATACATATTGAAGCGTATGAAGCATACATACATAGAGAAAAGTAGCCAAAAGCGACATAGGCCTCCTAAAGCGACATATCTCTATATCTCATATATTAAATGATGTATTTTATCGAAATATAAACTAATATAAACGTAATTCGTTTTATCAGTTAAGTCATGAAAAATTCATACTTGGTATATTTCTTGTTCTTCTATGTGCTAAATTAGCAAATATGGAATCTTAAAAATTTGCAAGTTTTATTTCTATGATTTTTATTGACGAATTATGTAGACTAAACAGCGATAATTATCTTTTTGTTCAATATTAAGTTCTTCTATATGCATTTGGCTTTTGTAAAAATATTTTTTGAATATTTTTAACTTTATCATTTATTTACTGTATACTTTGAAAAATTGTATGAGAATGTGTCTTAAAGTGATATCATATCACATATCTACAGTATGCGATAGGTGCGATACTCTGTGACTAACATCCCTTATAGAAATATCATACTAAGAATCATTGATAATTACTTATTATCCAGTATTTTTAATACTGAAAATAAGTAATTATCAATGATTCTTAGTATGATATTTCTATAAGGGATAACTTGATTCTAACTTCCCACTGTGACGTGCATTTGTTTATTTTAAAATTTAATTTTGTTTAGTTTAAAAATATAACATATGTAAAATATATGAGAAATAAAAAAGGTGAAAATGTCAAAGGTATATTTTTATTTGATTATATTTCCCTTTTGTGACATTATATTTTGAATAAATGAATATTATTCAACCACTAAACATATTAATTAACTATTTATTATCAAATATTATCATATGTACAACATGTTATATAACTTCCAATAGGTATGTCGCTTTTGACACCCATTTTCTTTGAACTCCATTTTTGTGCGTTTTACAAAAACATTTTTTATGTTAAATCTAGAAACAATTTCATTATAAATATGATATTATCTGATAGAGGGTACTTCTAATTACATGTATATATATTTACATTTATATTTTGACCTTTACATTAAGCATAACCTTCAAAAATAAAGTGATATATGTTATATATGTGATATATGTGATATATGTCGCTTTTGGCGTCTTTACATATATACATAGCACGTATCTCGAATATTTAGGGGATATACACAATCTATTTTTATGATATTCTCCAAACATTCTCAGAATCTATTTGTGCTATTAGGATTCTTTTTGCATCTAAAAATGAACTCAGAATTGGTGACATACAACTGAATTCTTTTTAAATTCTCTGTGCTATCTGGGCATTACCTGTGCTTATATTCGCTATATCTTCGGTCACTGTGCATTGTGTTCTTCTCTAATGCTTACGCTATTTCGAGTACTTCTAAAAGTTACAGGACAAAGAAAAGTTTTATGATAATAATTCAAGTGATATATAAAAATATAGAATTCGAGTTGCCCAACACAATTATGATCTTCTAATCCAATTTCTCTATTTCCTTATTTATTTCAGAATTTCTACAAATACTTATCTCTATTTTTTACACGCTGAAGTATGTACATTCTACGTTTAATTACATTTAAAAACATCAAGGTAAAAATATTCCTGGACACGTATATAATTTCAAATATTCTTATTATATATATATATATATATATATATATATATATATAATTTATGCTGAAAGTTTAAATAACAAAATAATAAAAATATCCAGGATTAAATACGTATCTGAATATTAGTATTTTTATACGGAAAAAATATTGTAGTAAAAATTACATTAAAATTATAATTCTTTTTACAATGTTTTTTGTAAAGCTGGATTATACCGAAATTACAGTATGAATTATTACAGAAGTAGGAATGTAACGATGTACCTGATATATGATAAAAGTTATTACAATAATTTTGCAGTAAAAAGTAAAACTTTTGCAACATTTTTAAATAAATACATGTATATAATAATTTTGATCATAATTCTGTATAATCCAAGGTTACAAAAATTTTCTTGTAATTTTTGCTACAATATTTTCTCGGTGTGTCTTATATAAAAAATAAATAGATCTCGAAAAGAATCGAAATTTATTCTACTTCTAGAAATAATTTTTCGATTTTCGAAATGAGATCTTAGCTAATAGTAATTTTTCTATTTGTTAGTATCTTCTGTGTTGTATTGACTTGTTATTTCTCAGAAGAGTTTAGATATGTGTCTCTTTTTCTTTTTAGCATTTTCTTCGGATGACATATAACGATATAACCGAACGTGCTCAAAGCAATTTTGCAGTAGTAAAGTAGTATATTACCGGTCAAAGAAGAAAAGGGTTAATTTGATGACTGCATCCTGCGGGCGGTCTGCCACGTGTTACATGAATCAGTGTCAATAGGCGAGACGCAGAATCGTCATTAAAAAGCACATGTCTGGAATGCGTGCACGCATCATCTAAACGACATGCAGTCACATGCATACCCATAGAAGAATACTTGGTGCATCGTAGAAGGAGAAAAGTGGGACCAGGGGACGAAGGGAGGGACTGACGGAATAAGGGACAGTATGGCAAAGGAGGAAGAGAAGAGATTACACTCACTCGAGCGGGTGTTCGTTAACGTGCTAGGTTCATTTAGAAGTACGTTCAGCAGCAAAAAGAACAAAAAGAAGCGAAAGAAGGGAGAAAAACAGAAAAGACGTAGGAAAAGACGAACTAATGTCTATAGGGAGCGATCATATCCTCGCGGGAATTCCATGATCGATGACGTTGAGCTTCTGGTGATCTTGGTCCACAGTTCCGCGTGTGTGAGATATTCTGAAAAGTCGAGGAAGCATGATCTGACGACGAGGTGGTAGCATGCGACCACGGGACCACGCGAAAGTACAATGGAGAACGCGTTTCTTGGGGAACCTCACGGTCCTCGCTTATCCGTTGTTCCTCTTGGTGATTACATTCGGTCTTCAGCCGGTGGCGGTGGCGGATATCGTACCAAAAGACATGGGTGAGTCGATCGTAATACAGAGTGATCTGATCTTGTTTTAAATATCAGCAAAATTTCTTCAGTTCACACTCGAACCCGATCATTATTCCTCGGTGAAGATATTCACGATACTAATAATCGGAGATACTAATAATCTTCTAATTAAAACGAACAATTATAGGATTTTCCGCGAATTAGATTTTAACATGAAGCTTATATTTAAAATATCTTAACGTAAAACAATACCATTAATAATTCAATGTACTAATATAACAAACGAATTTTTTGAAAATTTTCGCTCAAGTGCGATTTTTAACTTTTAATTGTTGTTATCTAATTTCATAATTTTCTTTATAATTAAAGATATTAATTTTTCGTCATGCCGACATTTATGGGTATTATATATTAGATTTATTATATATTAGGAATTATAATTTTAATTACATTTTAATTATAGTTTTAATTACATTTTTAATATTAAAAAAATAGCACATGATCAAAAGAATTTTATTGTAGCTTTATTTGAGCTCTACTTCTGGTAAGTCTTTTCACAGTAGAGAATTCGTAGAAAATTTGCTAAAGCAGCAAATATCAAAGTCGTTTTTGTGCATTTGAGCTTTCGCAAAAATGTGAGGAAGACATCTCGCCTAAAGATAATTGAGACCAAAGTCCCACTTTCGCCGGGATAGCGTCGGACGGACTTATTGTCAGTGCAATGCATTTCTAACTGATCTCTATTGCGCTAATTGAGCCGCGTGTGTGCTGCATGCAAAGTTGCATGTCGCGTGGTGCGTTCGCGGCGCCTTGTCTTCTTGGATTGGTCCAGGCGCTCGTTGCAACGATTTGAGTTACGAGCGGCGAGTTCACAGGTCACTGGGTTTCTAGTCGCTCATTGTGCCCATCGCCCGCTTGTTCCTATTTTTACTCTCATGCTATTCTCTCACCGAGTGTCCAGACTGCGACACTTGTCGCGAAAATAGCATAAGACGATTCGTTTTCAGGGAATTTCCTCGCGTGTCTCATATGCAATAGCATGATGACCCTTTTTCACTCATGCCGCCAATTTTTACTTCAGCAAAGGACGCGGTGGACCTAATGAAGGCCGCGCGGATGCAACGGAAACCGCTCGGAGTGACGAGCACGCAGGGCCGTTGTAGGAACGGCACTACTGCGTATGACATCGCGGAAACCGCGTTCCTCACGATCAATACCAATATGCTGTTTCCGGTCGGCGTGCCGAGGGACTTTTCCATCCTGATTACCGCGAAGCCGAGGCTTAGTGAGTCATGTTTCCGTGTTACGAAATTAGTTAACACAACAGCTGCGATAAAATTTTTATTGTCACAAGCTTGCATACAATGACAAAATATTGTCTTTTTAGTATAATTACTTGTTACTATGATTATATTCTATTCTAAGATATACCCTGCTTAAAAGATTTTAATTAGATAAGAATTAGATAAGAAAAACTTATATATATTGAACCGTATTTTTTATACATTGAGAGAAAAAGTATCTAAAAGTATCTAAAAGTGGTAAATATTTATTTGGTAGTATTGATAGTATATTTACTTAACCCTTTAAGTATCACTGGCACTTTATAAATGTGCTATTTAGAGTGTTTTTGACAATATTTTATTTAAAAAAAGTTACTGGAATGTTCCACGAATTACACGCCTTAAAGGATTAAATCTAAATACTTTTATTTGAATTGAATAAACAATCTTTCCGGAAAAACTAACGTTTTCTTAAAGTAGAATTTTAAGATTTTAAGAAAACGTATATTTTTTTATTTAAAAAATATTTTATATTAATATAAATCAATATGTTATTATAGTTTATATATTTGTTTATATATCCGTATATATATTATAAATAAATATTTACTATTTCTTAAATATTTTTTCCCTTAGTGTAAAGATGATAAAATTGCACAGAAAGGCATATGTATCCAAATAAATATTTAGAAGAATATTTAAATTAGAAGAGTATCTAAATATGTATTAGTTATTTTAATATAATTTTTTTATATATGTTTATATTTTTAATTTATATTAAATATAATTATATATTAATATATTAATATTCGACTTCGGTTTGAACATATTCAACCGCAGGTTATCCCAAATCCACACTCTTCACCATCTATAGCGCCAACGGCGAGGACCAATTGGCTCTGTCGTTGGGACGCGACATCAGCCTCTTGTATAACACCGGACCAGGCGACCATCGGAAGTTGATTTCGTTTGGCGTCGACATCTCCGATGGCAAGTGGCATCGACTAGGAGTCAGTATCAAGGGGGACGCTGTCACGATCATCCTTGACTGTAACAGACAGGTGACGAAGGAGCTGCGAAGAAATCCTGAAGAGACGATCAGCATCGCCGGCATCGTCATCATCGGCCGTCAGCTCATAGACAATAATCTATATTTGGTAAGCAGATAATAAGAATAATTCTAATGCTTATAACGTAATACAACTTCGTTTCAAAAATAGTTGGATTGAAGAAGATCGAGGAAAATTTTAACTCGTTTATTTTGTATGTTTCTTTCTCCGATCTCAGTTTAGAAAAATGTAATAATAAAGTTATAATAATTAAAATTAAATTATATTAAAATTGAATTTAAATAATAAATTAAATTGAAATTAAGAATAGAGAAAGAGGTAAAATTATGAAATATTTACGATTCTATTTTTGATCTAATTTCTGATTTTAGGGAAGCCTCGAGATGCTGAAGATCGCCCCGAATCCAGATGCCGCTTATGAGATTTGCACGATATTTGCACCGGATTGTAGATATCAATGGAGACAGAGATTGAATTACAGTTCTTCATCGAGTGGTAGTCGAAGCTACGGATCATTCAGGACATACTCTATGTCTTCCACTCACTACAGCTTCCCTGAAACAACTACTGAACAGTCAAGTCATATTTACGCTTCTTCCAGCGGCAGTTCCTCACTCGCTGGTGTATCACATCGAGAATCCGAGAATCTTAACGCAAACTTTTCCAGTTATAATAGCTATAACGTTCCTACAACCTCTTCTGTATTTAATAACACATTCAGAAGACAGAAAGATTATGAGAGCGCGATAAGTGAAAGTGAATATGATTACGAAGAGGAAAACGAGGAAGACTCGGATGAAGACGAAAATGAAAATATTCACGGCTTCGATTCTCGTGGTTCTCCAAATATAACTTACGTATTGAGGCCGACAATAGATACTTCCGTCAGAAATCACACCACGGTACATCTCAGATTAATTTACGCTCAATAAAGCAAACGACTTAAATTAGTTCTTGTAGAGATAATCAACAGTCTCATGAATATTAGCTAAATCCAGTTAATTAATAAATGGAAAATATTAAAATAAAAAATATACAAATTAAGAAAAAATAAAATTTAAAGTAAAAGCAAGTAAAGGAAAGATAAAGTCTTATTACTCAGGTACCCTACGAAGTGGAGACGACGACTACCGCGAGCGTGTACGAGATGGAAATGAGCTATGAAGAGAATCACGGGGAGCCGACAGTCGGTCCTTACGACGAAGAATCGTATCACAATCACGGGTACTATACTCGTGGTCCATCGGGACCTCGTGGATTTCCAGGACCTCCAGGATTACCCGGGCCTGCGGGTAAGAAAGGTGAACCCGGCCGAAATGGACTGGCTGGGCTGCAAGGTGCACCTGGTCCAGCGGGCAACGTGTTTGTGATACCCTCGTTGAGTGTACAAGGTAACGAGAAGGGGCCAGACTCTCAGGCAGAAGCACTGAGACAGATGTTGGCGCAGCACATGCTTGCGATGAGAGGCACGGAGGGCCCGATGGGCCTCACGGGTATCCCGGGACTTGAGGGGCCATCTGGACCTCAGGGTCAGAAGGGAGAACCCGGTGACATCGGTGAACCTGGTCCCAGAGGAGAGAGAGGTATGTTTATGCTGAGAAAGGGAAGTGGAGACTTTGCTTTGCTGAACAAGATTCCTTAGAACAAATCTTGGATTGATTAAACCAATAATGTAATATTAATAATAAAAAGTATATAACTATGTTGGGATGAATTACTGATTGATTCAATAATTGCGATTTAGTCAGCAACTAACTTTCAACATCAATCTTTTTCGATCTGTTTATCTTCTACGAGAGTAAAGTTCACGAATTTTTTGCAGGGAGTCCAGGAAATCCTGGCAGAGAGGGTAGAAGAGGTCGTCCTGGCAGAGATGGTGAACGTGGTCTCAGTGGGCCGCTGGGGATAAAAGGTGAGCAAGGGCCGATAGGATTGCCGGGCCTTCCTGGAGATAAAGGTGAACGAGGACCTCCGGGGATATCTGGAGAACCAGGTCTGCCGGGTCACGAAGGGATGCAGGGTGAGGATGGCCCTCCCGGACTACCGGGCTTACCCGGTGAATTGGTAAAGGATATTAAAATGCTTTTTATTATTACAAATCATTACAAGAGATTGAATAACAAAGAATAAAGTAAACTTCATTTTTGCAGGGTCCAAGAGGATTTATAGGACCAAGAGGTTTTCCTGGAGTACCGGGTAATCCTGGTATCCCTGGAAACGAAGGACCCTCCGGTGCTAAAGGCAACGCTGGGCCACCGGGTCCTGCCGGTGCTCCGGGTCAACCAGGACCTATAGGTCCAATAGGGCCGCCTGGTCCACAAGGTCTACTAGGACCGACCGGTCTAGTTGTAAGATCTAGAATTCAGTGTTTAATAACTCTAAAGCTTTATCATCTATAAGCCATTTTCTAAAACATTTTGCGAAAATAATTAATTAGCGTCGATTATAATTAGATATATAAAATGTTCTAGAAGTCATGTGCTTTTTTTGTTGCTATAACTGCAAGAAGTTGGCAATTATAAGATTTCTTTGTATTCTATGTTAATGATGCGATTGTATCCTTTAGAGTGATTGGTAAAAGCGCTGAAATATTTCACACAGGAAATCTACATATTAAAACAAATAAAATTTTTACTTGAACTTATGTTGTACATACCATAAATGTATGTTCGAATCATATTTTTTATTGGTTTTAATGTAGATTCACTTTCTGAAGTATTTCTCTATATTTATAAATCAGTCTGTAACATAAGTGAATTTTATTTAAAGGGCCCACAAGGAAAACCCGGAATTCCTGGTCTTCCGGGTGCGGACGGATCCCCAGGTCTCCCGGGTAATTCCGGAATGCCTGGAATAAAGGGTGAGCAAGGTCCACCGGGTCCTCAGGGGCCGATAGGCTTTCCAGGAGTGCGTGGTGTAAAAGGCGACGAAGGGCAACGTGGTCCACCGAGTGAACGTGGCGAAAAAGGCGAGAAAGGATTAGAAGGCGAGAAAGGCGACGCTGGAGCGAAAGGAGAGCCTGGAACCACAGGACCGCAGGGTATTCCAGGCCTCGAAGGATTAGAGGGACCGAAAGGCTTCGAAGGGCCTCGTGGTGAGACTGGACCTGCTGGTCCGACCGGTGAGAAAGGGAAAATCGGCGTATCTGGTTTTGCTGGCTATCCCGGAAATCCTGGAGAAAAGGGAGATAAAGGACAACCGGGGAAACAAGGTTCCAGCGGCGATAAAGGCGAAAGGGTAAAATTTATTGATGAAAATATGGAATTCTAATATAATCTTAGTAAGATATTGTTTGTCTTTCTTTTTAGGGAAATAACGGATTGCAGGGAGAACGTGGTGAAATAGGGCCAAGGGTAAGAGTTTATCGTTAAGTAAATTTATCGTTACGGAATTAAAAGAATTCCATTGATTTATTTGAATATATTTAACTCTTTCGAACTACTCTTTCCTCAAAATATCGCTTCTCTTTTTCTTTTTATCACTTTATTGTCAATTTTATTGTCAATGTAATATTGTAATAACATAATATGATATAATTCACATAAATAAAATTTATATATTTGTGTATTCTATTTATACATAAAAGAGACAGAATATATATAGTATTCATATAAATTTATATAATAAATATAATATAATTTATATGAGATACACACATAAAACACACACAGATATTTTTCGTACATGATATGCATAGCATATGTTAACTTTGTTATAAAGGGTTTCAGAGGAGCTCGTGGGAGAAGAGGTTCGGAAGGATTACCAGGTCCAAAGGGTGATACTGGTCAACCAGGACCTCCTGGATTGCCAGGAGAGATAGGTCCTCCGGGTGTTGAAGGTCCACGTGGTTTCGTGGGACCACCTGGACCTTTGGGTCTTGACGGTAAAGACGGCATCCCAGGTCCACCCGGCGAACGTGGTCCCATTGGAGAGTCTGGATCTCCGGGACCTCCGGGAGTACCTGGTGTTATCGGTCTTCAAGGACCGGCGGGAGAACCTGGACAACCTGGTGAACTTGGAGCGCCTGGTAGCCCAGGACTTCCAGGAGAAGGTGGTCCATCTGGTGAACAAGGGAAAGAGGGACCGCCAGGTCCAGTCGGTTTGATGGGACTCATAGGACCACCAGGTCCTGGAGGATTACCAGGATTTCCGGGAGAAAGAGGATTAAGCGGTTTGCCAGTTAGTTACTTTTGATTTAATCACGCGGGGATAACATACAAAATATCTCATTTAACTTTAGTATCTTAAATATCTCTGGAGTAATAATATTGTGTTGTCTCTCTCTCTTTCATTCTCTCAAGCAAATTAAATAAATATTAAAATAAATGAGAGATTATCGTCATTAAATAAATGATTATACTTCGTATAATTATATTCAATATAGGTTAATTATAAATTGTAGGGATTACTCGGCTTGAAAGGAGAAATGGGTCCCGTCGGGCCTCAAGGACCACCCGGTGATAAAGGTGCTCAGGGTGATCCTGGCAAGGATGGACCACTAGGACCAGAAGGCAGGCAAGGGCCTAAAGGTCCGCCAGGACCTGTTGGACTTAAAGGAGAAAGGGTAATCGTACAAAGCACAGAAAGTGACATAATTTAAATCTTTTCTTGCTGATGAGCACTTCTATTTCTTTAATATATTTTCTGCACAACTGCAATTGCAAAAATATTAATTTTTTAAATTAGTACATTGCTAATTTATGATTAAAATATTGTTTATTTCGCAATTAACAAATTTCAGGGTGATCCTGGATTACCTGGTCCTACTGGTCGCGACGGTCTGCCGGGACAAAGAGGGTTACCAGGTCCACCTGGACCAGTTGGAGTTCCGGGAGAGGATGGAGATAAAGGTGACGTAGGTCCACCTGGTGAGAAAGGATTTAAAGGATCTCAGGGAGAAATGGTATATATTTGATTGGTCTGATTAATTCAGAGAAAAATAAGAAGTGAACGAGATAATTTCAGCAGTAAATAATTCCTTGAAACATGTAACTATGAAACGTAGGGTCCTCTCGGCCCACAAGGTATACAAGGACCGCGCGGTGAGCCTGGTTTAATGGGTCCTGTTGGAGAAAAAGGACCACCAGGCGAGATGGGACGGCAAGGACCGAAAGGTGAAGACGGCCCGGTCGGATCGATTGGTCCAGCTGGACCTATCGGATCGCAAGGTCTTCCAGGTCCGCCGGGTGCAAAAGGTGAAGTTGGAGATCCTGGAACAATTGGGCCTTTAGGACCGCCGGGTGTTCCAGGAGAACGAGGTCCGAGAGGATCAAAAGGACTCGAGGGCACGCATGGTCCATTAGGTCCAGAAGGTCGTCAAGGTGAGAAAGGAGACACTGGAACGCCAGGATCTCCTGGTGTATTAGGAGTGGAAGGTAAACAAGTAAGTTGAATTCTCTTTTATTCTCTTTAGTTCTCTATTATTCTTTTATTTAATTTGTTAATAATTTAATGATTTAATTTCGTTAATTAACTTGATATGATTTACTTAAATATGTTAATCTATTCGTATTTGATGGGTTTATTAAGGGAGAAAGAGGTTTTCCGGGCGCGAAGGGTGAGGAAGGCAAACCAGGCTCACCCGGTCCTCTTGGAAGTCGAGGATTAATCGGACATGAAGGACCGAAGGGTAACGTAGGGCCACCTGGTTTTCCCGGCCCTCCCGGAGAACCAGGTCTAATAGGCGCAAAAGGTGAATCTGGGAAGGATGGCGAAGACGGACAAGTTGGTGATCCTGGTGCACCGGGTGAAGCTGGGCCACCCGGTAAAGAAGGACTGCCCGGTCCTCCCGGGAAACCGGTAGTTTTAATATACAAATAAAGAATACGTTTTCGTTTCATGACATAAAATTTCAATTAAGCGTGTCGTTAATTTTTAGGGTCCGGAAGGACCTGCAGGTTTGCAAGGTAACACGGGTTTACCGGGAGAGAAGGGAGATATAGGTTTACCAGGACTACCAGGACTTCAAGGACGCGTCGGTCCTCAAGGTCTACCTGGTTCACCTGGTTTTCCAGGAGTAAGAGGTTTACCAGGAGCAGCAGGAGAAAACGGACCTCCGGGTATAGCTGGTGCTGTTGGAGTTCCGGGGAAAGTTGGATCGGTCGGCCCGAAAGGCCCAAAAGGCGACAAAGGCCGCAGAGGCATTAAAGGACATCGGGGTGAATTAGGACATGTTGGAATTAAGGGTGATCAAGGAGAGCAGGGTGAGAAAGGTATGCGCGGACTTCTTGGATTTGAAGGGCCCAAAGGAAGCCCCGGACCTGCAGGTCCAATTGGACCGAAAGGCAATGATGGTCCTCCGGGATTACCCGGGATGCAAGGTCCACTTGGACCGAAAGGAAACACCGGAAATGATGGAACGAAAGGCGACATTGGTCCATCAGGCCCACCAGGACCGCCTGGCCCACCAGCAGAGCAACCTATGATCCCTCCGGAACTGCTGTTTAGTAGAAGTCAATTGACTAGAAGAAGACGCGCCGTTTTGGACGAGTAAGACTTTCGTGATTTAATTTAAATCAACAGAATTTGAATTATGGTTATAAATAAGATTCAGAAAATTTGCTGATTTTACAGTTTTGTGACTCAGAGGGAAACCGCAAAGTTTCATTTATTAGATGTCTCGCTGATTATTTTCGATTAATTTAGGGATGAGGAAGAAGAAGATGACGAGAAGAGCGAGGAACCAAAGAGGAAGGACGATAGATCGCAAGAGGAACTGGGTCCTGAGTTCTTGGACATGTACAGTTCCATTTATGCTATGCGGCAAGAACTGGATCGAATGCGCAAGCCGACCGGTACCAGAGCAAATCCGGTGAGAACGTGCAGAGATTTGTTTTATGGTCATCCTCACTTCAAGGATGGTAAGATCACTTTCTTTTCATTTGTAAATCTATAAATAGTAAATAGTTAATTATCTATTTTATAGTACAGATTATATCTTATAGCAGATTAAATAAACTCCCGATATAAGTAATCACTGAAAACTCACTTTATTGTTGACATTTGGAAAAGTTCTGTATTGCTCTTTGTTAAACAGGTTGGTACTGGATCGATCCGAACTTGGGCATGCCCGATGATGCAATTTATGTGTATTGCAATGTCTCGAGTATGGGTGAGACCTGTGTGTTCCCCGACGTCCACAGCAGCCAGATGCCGAATATACCATGGAGGAAGGAGAACAACAAGAATGACTGGTATTCACGTTTACGTGGAGGATTTCGAGTAAGATTTATTGAAATTTACTCTCTTAAAGCAAATCAGTAAAAATATTTCTGACTCAACAAAAGGAGTATTTCACCGATAATCAGTGAATATTCACTGATTTTCAGCGAAAATCTTCCACTTTATTGCTTCGTTTTATATCTCACTGATTTTGATTAGTGGAAATAGAATTTCACTGCGAAATCTGTAGTACACCAATTCGTTATATGCTCTACGAAATCTAACTTTCTGCATTCGTAACAATGGAATTAACGATTTTCATATAAATCATCACATTTCGTGTGATGGCACTGAACCGCCAGTTATAAGTTTATTTCAATGAATACATCAAGTACTTTAGAAAGTACATTGCAACCATCTTTGCTTAAAAGATTCGATTGAATTAGATAAAAAAATCCATATAACTGAATCATATTTTTAGTAAAAAACTATGTCGAAATGCACGCAAAAAAATAACTTAGTAATATCAGCTAAACCGCGGTACCTGATTTAAATTTAGTCAAAAGGCTAATCGTTTAGCTGTCACTGTTAAGAATTGGCTATGGCAGCTAAAATGTACTCGCTATGAAATACAAATATATTAGGTGACATTAAAAATGCACATTATTTTAAGTAGCTAAGAAAATGGCAGTTATTTCTAAATTTCTTATCGTATGCATATATTAAAGAAGTTTGCCGCACAGTTACAATCATTTGTTACAGTCATTTATTTCTAGTAGCTAATATTTCTCGCTGTAGCGCCTAAGTTTAACAGCGAATAAATTTAGCTTCGGTAGTATCGACATTAGCTGTATCGACATTTACTGACACATCTTATCTGCCACAGCTATTTTTAGCTCTGGAAGCTAGTTTTTTTTTGCGTGCATGTGTATTCAGAGAGTTTAATATAAAATTTTATTGTTAAAAAAGAAAGTTATGATATGAAAAGAAAGAAATTGATGTTCTTTTATATTAGCTGAAATTTGAGAAGTTGAGATTCTCGCTAGAATAATAAATTCAGATAAAATCACGTAGTATTTTTCAATGAAATTTGTATATATTTCTATCAATGTTATCGGATTTTTTAGCAGGAATTTGAAAACATGTTATTCTCATTTCAATAATTTAAATAAATATTATGAATTTAAATAAATTTATATAATTCAAACAATTTCAATTGAAATGATAAGAGTTATCTGTTTGAGACACGAAACGCAAAATTGCACTCTGCTATTAATTTTTTTCAGATCACCTACGAATCGATTGGAGTAGTGCAGATGCACTTCCTGCGTCTTCTCAGCCAAGAAGCTTATCAGAACTTCACCTATACGTGCATGAACAGCGTCGCCTGGTACAACAGCGAACAGCCGAGTCACAGTTACGACCTCTCGTTGCGACTGCTGGGCGATAACGAGGAAATGTTCTCATACAACGGCACTAAGCCGCATGTTCTCGTAGACGGCTGCAGGAATCGTAAGAGCAAGGCCGAGACCGTGTTCCTGGTTCGCACCAGGAAGCCGCAGCAATTGCCGTTGGTCGACTTTTATCCGGTCGACTACGGTTCGCCGCATCAGGCCTTCGGTTTCATGGTCGGACCGGTTTGTTTCAAGTGAAAACCGAAGCAAAGATCGTGTAATTATCGCGACCGTGTGATAATTATATGTGTATTTGTATACGTCGCGTGTTTAGCACGAAACGTGTGATCCTTTGATTCCGCGTTTTTAAGTCCCACATTATTAAAATCGCGTATACCATTCCTAAAGTTCAGACGGCTATATTTAGCGCTAAATATGAAATACGGATGCGATTCCACGTATTTCAAAGAATATTCATGTCTACACTGAAAGAAAAAGAATCTAAAAAAATTAAAAAATATTTATTCGGTGGATACTAATAACATATTTACTGAAATCTAAATTCTTTCATTTAAATAGAATAAAATATTGCTTTTATGAAAAGTTGAAATTTTAAGAAAATGTATATTTTTTTATTTGAAAAATATCTTATATATTAGTATGATATAATATATATGTAAATATAAAACTAACAACTGTCTTAACTGTATAACTTAACTATACAATTTAACTATACAACTGTCTTATATTGGTATAATATAATATAATGTATAACATAAATATATGTTATTAGTACTTACCAAATAGATATTTTTTACGTTTTAAATCTCTTTTCCTCTCGGTATAAAATAGTGGAATTAAGAAGGTGCATTTGAGACGATATTATAATGGGAAATATAAAGGAGATATGATAGAGCGAGGAACCAGCAAGGAAACTGTTATTGTCAAAATAACTACACTGCCAAAGAATCATTGCATATAGACGGTGTTGTTAATTATTGATCGACTAGTTTGTGTGAGATGTGCAATTTAGCGTAAAGTTCGATCTAGATATAATTTAGAATAAGATACCATCGTATTATTTATAATACGATTATGATTTACAGTGCGCATTTGTAGTGTTACGTGTAACACGTTTTAACATATTCTGTACAGTACAGGCCGACTCTTAATATGTTTATAAATAAAGTGCAATATAATCAACTATCAGTCGACCGATTATTTGTTTACGCTTAAGCACCTGTTATTTGCTTTTATCTATTTGCAAGTTCGTGCTATTTATAAAATTTTATTAATTGTCAATTAATCTTTAATATTTATTAAAAAAAAACTGTTGCACCTACTAGTACACTTATATTTAGAGACATGCTAACAAGTGGGTTCCGTGGTGTAGCGGTTATCACGTCTGCTTTACACGCAGAAGGTCGCCAGTTCGATCCCGGCCGGAACCACTCTTTTTTTTTATTTTTTTCGTACGCTTGACTTTATCAACAAGTGCTGTCTGAAATTAATATATAACACAGAATTTAAAGCGACGACATTAATTAATTATCGAATGTCTATTTAAAAACCAATATCATATTCTTTTGTTTTTTTCTTATTTTTTTAAATACAATTACATATTCTTAAAGAAATTAGTATTTTATACATATAATAAGAATATCCGAAATTATTTAATGTTTTGCCAAAACACTGTACTCTATCCGTTTCAAGTTTAATTAATCCGTGAAATTCTGTCCGGTCGGGAAGTTTCGAGGAACAGCGATTCGGCGAATTTTTGGAAATATTGACTCAGTCTGCAGAAATTAAATGGAGAGTTAAGCTTGTCGGGGCGAGAAAATCGTCGGGCACTCCATCGAATGCTGCTCCATCGACGTTACACTTATCGAGTCTCGGCGAAGGGGGAACGAAAGTGTGAAAAGATTCGAGCGAGAGATAGGGCGGATCGAAGGAATCCGCGAGAATGGCGAGATATGCGTGGGCGAAGCGTGAGAAACCGCAGGTGACAGCTTGTCATGGCGGTCGGCGGTTCACACTTCGGGCTCGCTCGTTCTTTCCTGGTGACAAGACAACCGAAGTAACGGCGCAGGGCCGCTTTCAGCGGCCGGAACCGAGCGAATCCAGCGAACTTGTCTTCACCGCGTTGCGACCCGACATTTCGCGAAGCCAAGGGAGCGAACTTAAAATTACACGCTTATATACGAACAATATAGAAACAAAAACGTAACATTCATAAAAATCTCAAGGATACACTATAATAAAAAAGTAAATGCAGGATTTTAAATTTAACGCAGAGCATTCCGAGATATTATTTCTCTCCTGAGACTAGTTTCTTCGGGATCATAATTTCAATTGGACACAGCAATGTCAGGGAAGCAATCCGAGGGACGTTTATGCATCGTCTAGAAAATCAGCACGTCTTTATAGAGTCTTGCTCAGCCGTGGAATAAGAAAATACCGACGTTTTCCGTGCAAAAGCGGTGGTAGCACCCCTGGTCGAGGAAACGGCGTCCCTGCTCTCTGGCGTCGAGCTTCTTTCCGCGAGGAGCGGTTCGGGGGACGATAAAAGGTTTCCTTGTTTAACAAAATATCGTCTCCGAGCCATTAGCCCGACCGTTACCACTTCAGCGCGATTTTCTGCTCCCGCCGCCGCGTCGAGGAGGCACTCGGATCCTGCGAGCTATCAAATGCAGGCAGAGCCCGCCATTCTCCACTCCGCGGTCAGCCGATGTGTTGAAACGAACGGGGACTTAAGCACTCGTTGCCTCTCTCCTTCTCCGTTAACTCGATCTTTAATTTTCGCCGGAGTGGTAATCGTCGTTTTCGACGGTACGCTTCAACGTTATCGCTGACAGAAAGAAAAATAAAATGCGCTTGTATTTTTCTCCGAGTGATTAGAGCTTCTAAGTAATCAATCGCTTATTAAATCTGTCAAATGATTTATTACTCGAAACATATATAAAACGGACAATAAAAAATTGCAAATCTAATTAGTATATATTTATAATATATATGTATATATGTATATGCGCGCGTACGCAGATACAAATTAATTGACTTTAATAAGATGAAACGATGGATTAACGCGGTTCTAACGTTGTTACTATTTTATTACTGATTATTTGGAACAACTTGGAATATTCCGATAATAATATAAATTATTATACTTTTACGGAATATCCCGTGCCTCTCGATTAAGACCTCGAGTATTCTCGTGTTTCGTCCACATTAATAGATAAAACCACTTTGATCGCATACATGAACTCTCTCTCTCTCGCCCCACCCCTTTCTCTCTCTCTTTCTTTCTCGCTCTCCCTTCTGAGATGGCGATCATTGATTTTCAGGGAAATAATAAATGAAATATTCAGGGAATATGGTATGCCATTACGCTTGTCTTGCGTAACCGTAACGTCGCAGCGCCGTGAGAAACTGCCAGATGTCACAGTCACTTTCAGCTCATGGTAACGGAAATGTATTCCAACAAGGTCTGTCAGATCTTCGTTTGAGGATCAATTTTCTCCGAAGCCGATCTACGCTTGGAATCGCTCAGGAAATTATGCGGCGCGATCAGTAGAATAAGACCGGCCAACGTATCCATTAGTATAAACGATATTATAATTAAAAACCATATTGCGGGACACATTTCAATTTTCTCGCTCCTTTCACTTACGGACTTCTCCAAGGCGATCCCTCCTTCAACAAAAATTTCAATTTCCAGCCTTCCATAAATCAAACTCATCAACAGTTCGACATTTTTTCCTCTTTTTTAATAAGATGTCCTCACAATTTCTTATATTCTTTTAGGACAAATTTTTTCTATTATCTCCTGCAGTAAAAATTTAATTTAATTCAGTTATAAATTGAACTCATCCATAGATCGATATTTTCTTCTTTTTATTTTTGAAAAGTCTTCATGGATTTTCGCCAATCTCCAATGATAAATTTTTTAAAATATTCTATATAACAAAAATTTAATATCTTAACTTTTGTAAACTAAACTCACGTTTATAGCTCGATATTCTCGTTATTATCTTCCCTTTTTTTTGTAAGCAATCGTCATAATGTCCTATCATTCTCTTATAAGTGTTTATTTATTACTTTTTATAGTAACAATTTTATTTTCTGTTTTTTATAAATTAAACTCATTCATAGCTTAATATTTTTTTCCTTTTATTTTAAGTAAGAAATTATTTTACCCCACAGTTTCTTTATCATTTTATTATGACAAATTTATTTTAAGATTTTAAAAATAATTTAAGACTTTTAGTCTTTTATAAATTAAATTTATCCACACACATAGCTTGATATTTCCTTCCCTTTTTTAATAAAAAGTCCACAGATTCTTGCCAATTTTTAATAAAATATTTTTATATTAATTCTCATATGAATAATTTCTCTCTCTCTTTCTCTCAAGTTTATCTGTTAAATATACAGCAAGTTCACTTATCCATGAATATCTTTCTTTGCATATCTTTCTACTCTTTCCCCTCTTCTCCATCTATACACACCACTATTGAATATCGGAAGCGCGATTTGGCCTCAAGGTAAAATAAATTTTCTCCTCTCCCCGTCTCTTCTTCTTTCCTTTCCTTTCATACTCCTCACGCGGTTCGCTCGATAACGCCGTTCAACCCTGGCGGTCCCTCGCGATTAGCCGGAGGGAGGCAGCGAGTTGACTTTCGCGCTCCGGCTCGCTCACCCTTGGGCGCCAGGAGGGGGGGAGCGAGCGGAAACCCCTCGGCTGGTCGAGGGGTTGCGCTCGTTCGACCCCTGCGAAGACTCTCAGACGAGGGTTGCAAGACCCGGCTCCGCCCGTTCACCAATCGTCGTCGTCGCTTCACGTTTTGCGCACGTGCGCTCGCATTGACAGGCGAGCGCGTCCGCCCAGTCGCGAACCCCTACGACGATGACCATCGACGGGTGCGAAGGTTTTCTCTACTCCCTCGCGATTTTCACCCTCCCTCCTCCTGTTCCGCCGTTCAGCCGCGAACGTGGTCCGCGATCGCAACGGGCAAAAATTACGAGTTATGGATCACACGTGCCTCACACGCGTACACGACTCGACGCGATAAAAAGCGATCGGCGGTTGAAGAAACGAGACAGGGTTCAATCGGCCGGATATCGGCGATACCAGAGGTAACTCGAAGGACAAACCGTGAATTCATCTATCTCACGCGGTCGCGCAGCTTTCGTGGGTCGTTAGGCGAGAATCTCCGATCTCTGATCTTTAACAAGCTTGCCGCCGTTATCATGATGCGAGCTTGACCACGTGTTTGTGCGAACTTACTCTGATCCAGACAACGGGGGTCGACACGGTTCTTATGAAGCTTCGTGTACATTGCTGAAGAGATTTTCTTCGACGAATTGGAGTCCCAAGATTTTCGATGGATCATATATAAGGATCACTGCGCTCAACTGAAGATCGAGAGAGATCGTACTGCTGAGAGAAGAAAAGAAGTGAAGGTCGTTTGCGAAATTTGGAATTCGATAAAAGTAAGTGCACAATTTTTATTTGATAATAATATTAATTTAATAATATTTGTGAGAACATTTTCATGGATTGATATATACTAGAAGAAATATTATCATACGTCAATCAATTGCATTATATTTCAATTAAATACGTATCACACGCGCGACATGTATTTAATAATCAAAATTTCCTGCATCATTATGTCACTGTAAAGAATTATTTGCAAAAAAGATATCATTTTCATATCAGGGCTGCATCTTTATGAGATAAGATTCGCAAAGTGTTAAAACTGTGAGTTTTTTAATATATACATGGAGGAACTACATATATTATAGCTTTTTTCATGTATAAATTCTTTTCAATTTTACTATATTCTCAATAGTGTAGGAATGAATTATCAATAAAGTCTATCTTGCTAAGGAGTTTAAATTTCTTTTAAGTTCTGCTGGAAATATAGTAAATTTTTAAATAGCACATTTTTCAGTCTCTGAAATATAAGTAGTGCATATGAAATGAAAGAATAGTCAGTCACTGCAAAGAATTTTATATAAGAATTTTTACTACAAAATTATCTCCGTGCAGCTTTAAATGATTAGAAATATGAAAATACTCTCAAAACATTCTGCAGATGATAATAACAATATATTAAATATTAATATTATATAAATATAAATATTATAGAATAATATAATATTCTGAACATTTAAAATATGCAAAATAAAAAATAAAAATTATCTACGTTTGTACTTCTTGCGACGAGTATCTGCAAGGCCCTAAATTGCGTCTTATTTCGCAAATTCGACCGTGTTTGAAAGCGCGACTCAATAAAAAATGGCGCAAAAGAAACGAGTAGGTAATTTCGGAGGTCAATACTTCATCGGAATTAAATTATTATGCTTCATCGGAATGGGGTTAGTTATTTCTTGAATGGAATCAGCATGCTTTCTCGCCGACGGAGCGATTAACGGGCGACACGTGTCGCAGTCACGCCGCTTACCAGCGGTCACCCGTGAGTACACGCACCTGTAAACCCGATTCTCCCGAATCGCGCGTGCAATTGCCGGTGCTGCGATGCCTGTCATTACGTCGAATCCGGCGCATATGTCAGCGGAAAGGCAAATGTTAACGCGTGGCGAAGGGAAACAGGAGGCGGGGATGGCATTTCGTCGTGCACAGAAAAGAAGAATATTCTTGTTTGGAAAATATCTTTGTTTTTTATATGTTAATCTTCAAATGAGATTTATCTGCAAGATGAATTACAAGCAAGAATATATTTTGTATAACTTAACAAAGAAAAGCCTGTGTTCTTATTATTAAAACATAATTTTCGTTAGTGGAAAGTTCAAAATATTGGATTGATGTTCTTAAATTTCGGGAGAAGATATCATTATCACCAAAATAATAATATTGTGCTTCTTTGAGTGAAATGCAAATATATGATGTTAGAATAATTGCGATATTCACATAAAATTATATAACATTGTGTGTCGACAAATTCAAGACTTGAAAAAATTCTTCTACCAAGAAATTATATATCATTGCTTATGTTATATGAAACAATAATTGTCGATTTGAGTATATCAGTTTTAAGTAAATACTAATTTCTTTTCCTGTGTAAGTCGATATGTAACGACGTGTGGGTGTTATTAATTTCCATGATTAATTGATCGGGCTATGTGAATAAATATGTATATTTATTCTCTTATTTCTTCACCATTTTTTATCTACTTATTTATATTAATTTTCGCACGATGTTATCCCGTGTTTTCCTCTGTGAGGATGGCCGTTACACTTCGTCGTGAATTGGAGCGTCCCACCCTTTACTTCATACCTTCGGCGTGACTACAAACGCGTTGTTAATAACAAGTATAAATATATACTTATTATTCTCATGTGTTTACTTCTCACATGTTCTACCGCACATCGTCGCAAATTGCAGTCTGTCAACTTCGCTATTACAGATATCTCGACGTATGTATGGTTAACGCACAATAAATACACACCAGACCACAATAATTGTTTCACACGTCTCTGTGTCGAACCTCCTATTGCGTAATCGCGACGTGACACTCGCTCTACCTTAGACATTTCCTAACGGAATTTCTTCTCTTTACATACATATGGTCAGCAGCGAGCGCGTGTAAATTTTGCGCGCGAAAGATAAAAAAGATGCGATGCAATTAATTGCTTTTTTTCATTAATTATCGTATTTAACTGACAATTAATACGAGCCAATTCAATTGGAGACTGTAATTTTGACCGATTGGGATCACATTTTTTATAGTTATTCTCTAGGACCCTGTGGAAAATATAAACTGCCAGAGAGCCTAGAACGTCCCATGATTTCATCTCCTTGACACTTTGAGGTAACCTTGGCAACGTCCGGGATAGTTTAAGCTTATTATTAAAACATAATTTTCGTTAGTGAAAAACCCAAAATATTGGATTAATGTCCTTAAATTTCAGGAGAAGATATTATTATCACCAAAATAATCATATCGCTTCTTTGAGTGAAATTCAAATATATGATATTAAAATTAACATTTTCTTTATTAAGTATAAAATATTCTTCAAATAAGAATATATATATTTTCTTGAAACCTTAATTTTTCATGAAAGCAAGTGTTTATTCTATTTAAATAATAGGATTTGAATTTAAGTGAATATATTAGTACCCTTCCTTCACCGAATAAGTATTTTTTTACTTTCTAGATAGTTTTTCTTTTATAGTGTAGAACCTGCGTTGAAGGAAGCTTTGGTCGTACCAATCGTCAATTAAATAACCTTTAATTAAATTTGCTAAGTTCAGTCGCCAATTAAACAGCCTTTATGATTGCTAAATATAATTAATTAATTAAATGATATTTGATTTCTCACGCTCATAACAATTGAACTCTTTAAGTGAAGTCGTTGAAATCAATCGAACGGTCTCCGATTGAATTTTGTTGAAATTAATCGTCGATGAAACATTCTTCGCTTGAATTTGCTCGAATCAATCATCACAATTAGTTGAAATAAAACACATTTATGCAAATCAATTACAAAAGCGAGAAAAATCTAATGGATATTCTCACAACTGTAGATATTGCACAGCGAGGCAATCGAGATTCAAGAAACCGTTGATATTCGTTGAAATTACAGTGTGTTGGATGGGGGGAGGGGGACGGGAAAATTTCCTTTTGATTTCTCAAAATCTGTCTTCCCATTGACAGGCGTACACGCCGAAGCGCACACATGCTGCGTGGGTGCGCGTAGTCGAGCGTGTCACGCAATCACGGCCGAACTGTGCGAAGCGTGCACGTGCGCGCGGCTGGAACCAATCGCGCCGCGGCTAATCGTAAATTAGGATCGGGTGAAAAAATGTGGCTCTCTCGTCATTAACTTCGATAATTGCCGGAACCCTCGCGGTTCCTTCGGCAGCCAGCGCTGCCCAAACACCGGGTGTCGGTTGTCGCGCTCGTTAGTCAGTCGCTGATGGTCCCTAATTGTTATAAAGAATCGTGACACTATTGACGTGAGTACACGGGGAGAACTTATAGTGAGAATCGTAGGACTTTGTAACTGAGAAGCAGATCGACACATATTTTGCATTAACTATTCTTTCATTTCATATGTATTATTTACATTTTAAGAACTAAAATGTCTTCTTTTTTATTATCTAGTAGAATATACTATTAACCAATCCTTAAAAATTGGAACTGAAATTAAAACATTTGCTACGTTTCTAGTGAAATTTGCTATGTTTCTAGCGAAATTCACTATGTTTCTTAGCAAAACGGTCTATTGTGATCTACTAAAAACATAGTAAAACTGAAAAGAATTTACGTGAAAGAAGGAAAGACTATAATATTTTTTCCGCGCATGTCGTGTGTCGTGTATATATGTATATAAATACACACATATACGCACAGGATATAAAATTAAGTATTACAAGTTACTATGTTGACAGTCAAAAAATCGAAGAGTCCTTGAATTTATCTTAACAACTCTACTTAAAAAAAAACTTTATCAAATCATATAATCTCACGATATCCGACGGAGAGAAAACAAAAGTTTCATATATTTTGCTTAGCTTTTGAAATAATAGTCTGTAAGGTCTTTAACTTTACGCGAAATTTTTTCTCCCAAAAATATTATAATTGCATTCACACAAATTATTTCAAACAAACCAAATTTTCAATATTCTCGCATATTTTTTTCTTCTTTCTCGTATATATGAATTTTCTTTCTTCTATATAAATCTAAAATTTGCATTTTGTATCTGTAATTGTGTGAGTCTTTTCTAATTGATTCGATTGACTTCCGTCATCAAACGCGAAGTGTCGAGCCTGCTAATTATTACGCTTAATTGTACAAAACAGAAAGTCCACTTATCACGCTCCACCGCGTCGCGCACGTCGCTCTCCGAGCGGGATCGATTATTATTTACGAGTCGTTAATTGTACCGCGACCCTTTGGCATAACAAAGTCTCGTCAGGCTGACTCGACGTAACAGTCGTGTTTACGCAGAAGCGAATCATCAAAAATTAAGTGGAGCAGTTTGCGTGAGCGCACGAAAAAGAAGAACCTTGAACTGTGAGTTCCGTCCCTCTTTCTATCCAGGAGAATATTAACAGCGTATCTTGACTAATGTAAATAATATTGTTTACATAAATTCTTTTCGGGTCATTTTGGAAAGATTATTTCGAAAAGTCTCTATCTCTATTAATTCGCATGTTGGTTCTATTACGTTCTCTAAACTTTATATCCTTTTACGAAACGCAAGTTACAATCCGAAGACAAGAAGATAAGTTATCGAATATCAGTTGTGATTTATTTCACGAATCGTAGGATTGTAAAAAACTTTTCAAAAAGAAGTAACCCGCCTTCAAGAATCTCAAAAACCTTAAAAAATGTGAAACAATTTTGAATGAATATTCCTATAAAAGATGCTGATCATACAATGTACTTACAATGCTATCTTAATATTCTAACCATATTAGAATTAGCGCGAAACCTGACTGATTGAGTCAATAATCACATACTTCTTTTTATTATTTATTTCTCTGCAGTTATACATTGTTAGTTACTTATCTAATTTGTCTTTCTCGAGCCGAAAAATTTCGTTAGAATATTAAAATAAAATTGTAAGTACATAGGAATATTAATTAAAAATTACTTCATATTTTTTAAGGAGTGTATGTTTTGAGGTTCTTGAAGATAATTTATTTATTTTAAAAAGCTTTTCATTTTCTCTCTCTTTTTTTCTCTTTTTAATTATTTACTAAAAGTATGTTTTAAATTCAGGTAAGAAAAGTTTTTTTAAGTTAATTATAAACAAAAGTTTCATCGTGTATTTCTAGATGTTTTTTTTAAAAAGTTTAAAAAGATGCACGTTTTAAAAAGTATAATGGAATTACCCAATTCCCACGTTAACTTAACAAGCTCGGTCAATGACGCTAACCTAAGAACTATATGTTATTTATAAACGTAGATAACATATTAAGTTATAAAAGGTTCCAACTCAATATCTCTAAAAGTTCTCGATTTCTGAAAAGAAATCTGCAAACAAATAAACAAACAAACATACATACATACATACATACAAGACAAACTAAGAACTTCCTTTTTTCTGAATTCGTTTAAAAATAGATAAACATTCTTATACCTATATTATATCTGCAATATACGTATTCACGTGTTAGCCAAGTCAACGAGTGAGACTACAATTGTCGTGATGGGAAAGGCTCGCAGAGAAGATGGAGAAAACTCCAGGTGAGACTTATTCGGCAACGTCACGACACGCGTCACGGTGAGCAAACGAAGGATTCCCCGCAGCACCACGTGTCTTTTTTCTCAATGAACCCTCACCATGTCGATTATATTCTAATAACGTCGCGCAGAGTAGATCGAATTAGACAGGACCAGCGACGTCAATCAATCTGGATCTCTCGGCGACGGCGACGTCGCGACGGCGATATCGCGGACTTTTTGTCTGAGCGACATAGAGTTTGCTGAGCAATTTCTGTCGGCTATATTTGTATACACAGGCGATGTTAAGTACACAGTCTTACTATAGCATCAAAAATGTACATATTTTTATACACGTCTCAAGTATAGACTTGGCTTGCGCGTTGGAACTACCCCTTGAGGGAGACATTTCGTCGTTTCATTTTAATAAGAGACATTTTCTCTCTTCGACAACTTCAACGCGCCTAAAAAAAATATCCTCTCGTGCGAGACATTTAATTTCACACATCTGCAGTGATTGAGAAGAGTGGTTCAGGCGAGAGCTTGTAAAAACTTCCTCTCGGATTTGTCGTCTCTTTAAGTCACGACTTGGTTGCTCCGTTAGCGCGCAGCTGCGGCCGAAAAATGCTGCCGAGCTATTTTTGCTATATGTCCGCGCAGTCGGCGATCGATCAGCATTTTTTATGCGAAAGAACGCACGTGACGTGACGCGGAAAAAAATTTGCATGCGTCGACACCTTGCAGCGCGTCGCGCGCGTCGCCGGGAACTATCGAAAAGTCATCGGATCGGCATTAGACGAGCGTTTTGCAAGCGCAAGTCGCGCCGCGCTTGTCGAACTTTGCATGATCGATGGGCGCTCGTCAAATTGTCTCCACGAGCGTGACGCTAGTCGATATCTCATGTGGACGTCAACAGCGACGAAACGTCTACGTCCTTTGTCGCAATTTTTCAACAGCCGGCTCTTCGAGTATCTTTATCACCGCCTAATCTTGCCAACTTTTCACTTTAATATTCTGCCAAAGCGAAAAACTGACTTCAAAATAAGCGATGAACGAAATCAATGAACTCTTCAAGCTCTTTACTTCGACAATTTGTAATATAATTATAATATAATATGCGACAATTAAATTCATAGTTTTCTACTCGAGATATGCAATGTTAGAATTCAAGAAGATATGAGATAATATCAATTAAAGGCTTTGAGGCTCTTTGACTAAAATAAAAATTATATAAAATATAATATATACACCAAAAAAGAAATACTTGAATATTTATTTGCGAGGTGCATAAAAATTTATTTATTCATAGAAGTAAATTTTACATCCCGCAAATAATTTTAAAATATTTCTTGTTAGTATAACAAACAATACACCAAGAAAGAAATTACTTGAAAATTTATTCGTGTGTGGGATAAAAATTTATTTCACAGGAATAAACTTCATATTCCACAAATAAATTTTCAAATATTTCTTTTCAACGTAGAATTTATTGTAAACGTATATAAATTAGACCTGCAATTTGGCTCTTATTGTCATTATGTTATATAAAAACTTGTGATGAAACAATATATTGTCAAACTTTCGCTAAATATATATGACAGAACAATTTCTTTCGTGGCACTCAATTTCTCTTGAATTAATCAAGGAAGTAATTTGCATGACTCCAAAGACGACAAAACAATTTTTCCTATAGTACCAAATTTCTCCTGTGGACCAGTCTGAGAGAAATTTTAGGGCGTTATTAAAAAATATGCATTTTTTTTCTTTGCACTCTTTTTCGCGCGTCGCGTTTTCTCCACTCGTTGTCGTTTGTCTGCTCTTTCTCTTCTCTCTCTCTCTCTCTCTTCCCCGTCCGGTGCGTTCTGTGCGGTCTATGCGCTCGAAGTGAGGGCGGAAAATCTGACCGCTCGACTCACCCCCGTTACGACTCTTGGCGCAGCGCGACATATGTTACATGCGTGCGTGAGCGACACGACACGCGCGTTCGTGCAAACAGGGTTAAATAATACGCCCCGTGTAATTGCACACCGGCGCACCATGCGTGGCTACAATATGCTGAGGTGACATCACAGGGGTAGGGAAGAGTTTAACAAAAAAAAAAGAATAACACAGATAGAAAACCGACTTTGTTTTTCTATTGTTATTCTACCCGCTCAGCGCTCTACTTGCTTTCACGGTTTCTCCAGTCTTGATTATCTAACTCTGATTAGCGCGCATTTTCCAACTTACAATATTATGCGAAACTAATTAAATTTTTTCCGAGCACATACGATATGAGAGGAAAAATTTGGTTGCTTGAGAAATCGACACTATTCATTTGCCAAACAATTTATTAAACCGTCGACAGCACCGAGGTCGATTATTGCGTGCAGTCATCCGGCCGCTTTCGCGGAATACAACATCATCCTTGTGAAAAAGTCAGATCGGTTGATCAATATTTACTGAACGTTACGTAGCAATTTGCATCGGCGATTGGACGCTTCTCATGCGAAGTCGCTCGAATAATCGTCCAATTGCTACTCGCGGAGCGGAGGCCAGCCCTTGTCCGACGGAGTCAGATTGACCAGTATGGGTCATTGTCGCGGAAGGCGGCGGTCATCGGATAATAAAAATGTTATGACAGACTAAGGCGCTCGCGTGCTGGAGGGTTCGAGGGCTTCGTTGGTCGCGGAGGGCCAGAGAGGCGGACTATCAAGAAGTCAACCCCTCGACGAGAGTTCAGCGAGAAAGAGAGACAGAGAAAGAATGCATACACACAACATCGGCCTTCTGGGCACGAGGGTGCGGCGAAATTGTGGCATCATCCGCGTCAGGACTCTACCAGCCGGCGGCGGCGGCGGCATCGTCGGCGGTGGCGGTGGCGGGCGGTGGTCGGCTAGGACGGTGGTGGTTGGTGGTTCACCGCCGTGGAACGCCTGGGCGATGCTCTCCACGTCGAGGTCGCTGCATTATTGAGCCTGGGAAACGACCAGGTGGCCCAGGCGCCCATCGGGTCTGCGAGGAGGAGGGTGCAGGAAGACGGGCAGGAGGAGGTAGCCCTGAGGGCCTCGCGAGGGGACGGCAAGTCACGGGAAAGAGGGTCCGCCACCGACAACGGCTTGCCGCCGCCACCGCCTTGAGGTCGTTCGCGAGGACACGCGACTTCCTGGCTCCTCGACTTTGTGACCGCGGGGATGACTAGGCTCCACTTCGATTTTGCCCCGGCCATTGCTACGCTGCGTTCGCGCGTAGTGGCCATCGCGCGAACGATCGCAGAGAAAAAGGCCGCCTACGTACAGCACTTTTTTCCAGCTTGCTTCCTACGCTTGTCGTGTTTCTTTAATGTGCGCGTACCTCGGCGGACGAGGCGCGATTATATTTCTGCCGCGCGCTTTGTCCTTCCACTCTTGACTTTTTCTCTAGGCGAGTTTCTCCAGCGCGGTGAAGCGGAAAATGCTAATGTTTTCTTCGACTTTCACCGTTTCCTTGCGCTCCTCAACGCTTGAGACGGATATCCTGTTTGATATTTCTGCTGAGTTATTGTCTAGTATTAATGCATTCTCATTGGTTGTAGAAATGCTACATAGGAATCGGACAAGAACTGGATTCTGTGGTTGAAATTTACTGTACAACGTGTGAATCGATTTTCTCCAAATGTCAGTAATATTAATTAAGTTTTGTAATGCGTGCACGTATTATAATGTCACTTATGAATAAATGGAAGACATATTTATTTATATTGTTAGAAAAAGGTTTAAAATCGCGAGAACAATGAGTGACGTATGGAAAAGCATGGAGGGAGGCAAGGAGGATTGGCGAAAATAAGGCATTTGACACAACATTAGGTCCTGTATAAAACAATTGTATATAGAAGAGTTAAGTACCGGAGAAGCGATCAATCGCGCGCGAAATCGCACCCTCTCCTCCCTCTTCCCCTTAGTTCCGTTCGTTCGTTCTGAAACATCTTCCTCGCTCAGCGCGAGCTTGAAGCTGCTGCGGGAACGGTCGTAATCGAACAGTTGCGGATCGACAGTCAGCGATACCACCAGACATCGCTAAACACGTCGTGTAATATGGAAGCCCCGATTCGATACGATTCGCTAAAGCGTGACTATAGCCTGCGGCATAGCGCATGGCAAAGAAGTCGCAAATCGCAACAGATAATGAGGAGAAAGCGCGATATCTTCTTCACGTGTTCACTTCTAGTCTAGCCGCATGGCGCATGTATAATGCAGCGGGGCTGTTCGTGGTTATGTCAGTAACTCATCGCGATTATTTGCGACAACTTCCTACTTCTATCGCAGACAATGCACATCGTCTCGTCATCACTGTAAAGTTTTGTTTTCCAACTTTTCCGTCTTTTCCGTCTTCTGAGAAAAACACGTAAGATAAAACAATTCTCGGACACGTATCTAATTCATTCTTAGTATTTTAGTATTTCAATACTAATATTTGTATGAACTCCTCCCTCACATACACACATATAATGTCTGTCTGTATATAATGTCACATATATAATGTCCACTTACTATATACTGCTAAATCCTTTGACCAATCTGGACCAAATTCTGTATAATTATTCTCTAGGATTTTGCGGAAAATATAGGCTGCATGAGAGAGAGAGAGAGAGAGAGAGAGAGAGAGAGAGAGAGAGAGAGAGAGAGAGAGA